CTCCTGGCATTTTTCAAGACTTTGAAGTAAAAAAACATTATTAGTCTTAGAACAACCATTTACATGTTTTGATTCTCAGGCTTTTTGGCCTTAAGAGACTTCAATGATCCTGTCCTATTCCTGTTTTTCACCCTTAACACTTAGTAACAGTTAACATTTCATTTCTCACGAAAAGCATCTCACTTTGGCTCAGATTTGGAGGGTGCCCACTTGGACTTGCATAAGAATCTTGTTCAGAATTTCAAATCTTCACACCTGCCATTGATCATAACTGAAAATCAACAAGCGGTATAATATAGTAATCCCTTACAAAGGTATTATACCTGCCAGGTTTCAGGCAAATGGGTTTTGTAGTACATACCTTTGAATGTTGGTATGTATTTTTGAAGGAGTATGCCAGTATTTTTATTTCTTTATATTTCTTGGCAGAATTGGATGAATTAGACAGGGAAAGTTGCCCATAAGAGCGGATTAGGCCTGCTAAATTTCAGATAGGCTCTGGGTGGGTTGTGAAGGAGCAGCATTTCCAGTTTAGAGGGGGTTCCAGAAAGGTTGTGCTTATTTTTGTATGTTCTTTGTGGGCAGTTGTTACCCCCCACCCCACTGGAGCGGTTGGCAATTTGTGTGAAAATGCCCATTGAGTGTTCCTAGGCAAGTGGATAGGTACAAGGGGATGATGAATGGAAGACAGTTTAAAATTTATTTGTTTTCTGCTCAGTTGCCACCAAAGTCAGAGAATGTACAACAGGTGGCAGAGACAAAAGGGCATGAGCACCCAGCATTTTCCACGCAAGCACCCAATGCTATGCCTTCCCAGGCCCTGCAGAGTCCACCAAATGTCTTTAAGATTCCTGCTCCTGGGAGAGAGAACCAAGAAAGAGCACTGAGCTATTAATGGATCCTTCCTGTGATATATTGCTTCAATGTCCCTCCCCTGAAGCGTTGGCATTAGAGACCTCTGCCAGTCATTCACTGCAAAAAAAAAGCTAGGGCTGCCATCTCAGGACTGTACCCCTTCTCCTTTTCCCTCTCCCCACCCTTTATATGAAAAGCTTGTGGGGAAGGTTATCAACTTATAGTGATTCACTATCTGTGCCTTGAATCCTGAATCTTTAAAATGGTTCAAGCAAATTAGTTCTGTTTAGAAGTCACCCCACCCCACTTGGATTCAGAGACTTCAAGCCTCCTTCCTGGTTACCTGAAGGAGCGCTTACATCCATATATGCCCGGCCGCCCCTTGAGATCTGCGGGAGAGGCCCTTCTCTGGGAACCCTCCGTGAAAGAAATTAGGAGGGTAATTAGGAGGGTAACTCGGAGGAGGGGTTTCTCTGCGGTGGCGCCCAATCTATGGAATGCGCTCCCCAGAGAGGTCCGCCTGGCACTGTCGTTATTTGTTTTTCGGCGCCAGGCGAAGACCTTTTTATTTAAGCGTCATTTTAATTGTTAACAGTATTTTGCTTATTTATCTGGCCAGGGCAACTTCTTTTATATTGTTATTTATTTTATATTGTTAGTTTTATATTGCTATTTTTGTATTATATTTTATGTTGTGAGCCGCCCCGAGGCTTCGGCGAATGGGGCAGCATAGAAATGTTTTAATAAATAAATAAATAAATAACCAGCCCAGTTATGTTCTGGATTCAGGATCCATCCAAATCTGATGCAACTCTCTCTTAAGCAATATTTTTGTACTAAAGCAATAGTTCTATACCTGCATACCTGGGAATAGATCCTCTTGCATACCAGGTGGCCTCCCTCTGAGCAAAAATGTAGTAGATAGTATGCTTATAGAAATCCACTGTGGCACAGTGGTTATAGTGATGAAGTGAGACTTAAGAGCAGTCTCCACTGGGCTATGAATATCACTGGGCAACTTTGGGCCAGTCATTGCCCCCCCCCCCCCCGGCCCCATCCTAGTTGGAGGGTCAGTGTGAGTCACTGTGAGAATAAAATAGAGAGGAAGATGATCCTATGCACCACCTGGGGCTCCTCGGGGAAGGTAGGATATAAAAGTAACAAATTGCACAGTGATTGCTCTCAGGTCTGAATTCACAGTGACAGATACTTTTTTTGCAGGGGGAATAATATGTAATTCTGTTATCAGAGTCTGAGCTGGGAAGTAGAAAGACTTTGATTAAAATCTTGCCATGAACTCAGCAGGGGACAATGTACTACATTGCAATAGGTAGAAAATAACACTGTTCTTTCATAAGTGATTCTTGTAAGGATTATTGAGATAGCAAATTCTATTCTTTTCATCACCCATGGAGTCCTGTGTGGAACTACTGGGTGCAGTATATTGATTTAAATGTTGCAGAGGGGAGTATTTCTGCTTGGGGTTATGGACAGGCTGCCAGGTCCATTCCATTCCCATCCCACCCCCCCATTTTTCAGTCATCTCCCCAACTCAGTCCACCCAGGGTGTGTGTTTGGCTTTTTTTTTTTTTTTTTGAAAGCTCAGCCCTCACAGTCTTCTCATTTTTATGAACTTTACTGCTACAAACCTTGGGGGTCCCTTGAGTCTGCCAGTCCCTCCATTTTTGCATGGTGCTTGCCACATTAGTTAAATAATACTAGAATATATCATGTATGTACGTCACTTTCCCCTGAAGTTAGGAAATAGAATATAGGATGTGCGTGAACCACTTTGAACACTCTTAGAATGGTGTGTGATACTATTATTACAAAATATTAGTTGTTATTAATGCCAACTACCATTAGTCTGCTGTGTGTCCTGCCTCCCTACCTCCCAGTGTCGATGGAGAGTGATTTATGATCATGTGGAAGGGAAGGGAGCCAGCCAGAATTTCTACAGAATTTCTACAGCTGGCTTGGAATATAAACAAGGTTGTATTCCATTAAAGGGATACCCAGGGATTGGTTCTGGTGGCAAATCGTTTATTAAATTGACAAGGCACACAACAGTCCTTTACACCAGGCATCTCCAACCTGGTGCCCTTTAGATGCGTTGGGCTAAAGCTTTCACCATCCCCAGCCAGCCTGGTTAATGGGTGTCTTGGCTGGGGGATGATGGGAGTTGTGATTCATCCTATCAGGATGCTGCCTTACAGTCTTACTGGGAGAAAATTCATTTGATTGAGCTGACAGAGTTAATTTTCTTTCTATACTGCCTGACAGCCAAAGCTCTTTGAGTGGTTCACAATAATTAATCAAAATACAAAAAGATATAATAAAATACAAATACAATAAAACACAATATAAAATTCCAGTATACTGTACTAATTTAAAACAGTTTAAAACAGTTTAACATCTGAAACATTTTCTCTTCAGTAGAGATGAAGAAGACCAAAAAGGAAATGGATTGACTCCATGTAAGAAGCCATAGCCTTGAATTTACAAGAGCTGAACAGGGCTGTCAAGGACAAGGCATTTTGGAGGGCACCATAAGTCCGAGACAACTTGGTGGCCCATAACAACAGCATAGAGATGCACAATCCAATGCTTTTAACTTTAATTAAAGCATGTGTTAGATTGTAGGCATCTAAGATTTGCCTTATTTATTTCTTCCTTTTTCTCTCAAGAGCTCAGCTTTGTGCTCAGAGGAGACCAGCATAGCATTAGGCTTTGAATTAGCTATGGACTGAAGTCCTGAACCTTGAACCAGTATTCTGCCAGTTATACCACACACCAATATTAACTTCAGTATACATCATCACTCTTCATTATCTGCCTCTCACGTGGAGGTGTGTGTTTGTTATTTTCTTCAATGTAACTGGGAGGCTGTGATGAAGGAGTTTAAAATTAGACTCCAAAATGTTTTTATGCAAAATGATATGGCATCTCTTAGAAGATCCTGCTTTCCTCCCTGGTTTAATATGATTAAGTACAAATATGGGCTACAAGTACATACTTATTTTTTTTTGCTTCAGAATTTACACTGTTTAGTTTTCCCTTGATCTTGGTAACAGAAGGTAGACTCTACAGGGTCCTAGTATGGAAAGGCACTTCTGTTGCTGTAAAAGCAATTATTAAAAGTTGTTCCTCATTACTTATTTCGTTGTCCACGGTTCCAGAGCATGGGGAAAATGTCTCCCTGGTATATATTGGAGAACTGTAAATATGGGTCCACCTTTAAAATATATATATATATATATATATATATATATATATATATATATATAATTATGGGTTAGTAACAAAAGAGCTTTGGCTTTTGGGTTGTACAGCAAGGTAATAAATAAGAGGCCACACTGTGGGATAACGTCTAAAATGACTGTATTTGTTAAGCCAAATGTCATGCTGAGTTTGTTCGCCTTCGTGTTACAAATTGTGGAGGGATTTAGAATTTTAAAAAGCGATTGGCTAGTCCTGCGTTTTGTCTGTTGCTATGGCCAATAGCTCAAACAATGTGTCTATTCTACAGGTAGCACGGGGAGGGGAGGGGAGAGGAGAGAGAAAGAATGAGGAGCGGAGAGCGAAGGGGCTGTTCGTGGGGGGCGAACCGAATGAACGCGGCAAGGACGCGAGGGGAAAGATAAACGGGGCTAGCTTCCCATCGCTCTGATACGAAGTGACAGCGGACACAGAAAAGATGTGGGAAAGGGGCTTAATGGAGTGATGGATGGGAGGTGACAGCGGGGAGGACGGGCAAGACCGTGGCCGGAGGCAGTGGGGGAGAGAAGCCGGTCCCGGCTGCTCGGGAAAGCGCGAAAGCGGGACCCGCGCCGGGGCGTCTGCCGCGCCAACTGCTCCTGCCCGCAGCGAGCCAGAGGTCCGAACCGGCCTTCCGCAGGGCTGGCCTCGTCCCGGGCAGTTCGTGAGCGCGCCCCACAGGCGTGGCCGGGGAGCCCGGCGCCGCGAACCCCGCCGAGAGCTGGAGGCGCCGACGGGAGCAGAACGCGGCGAGTGCGATTGGGAGGGGAGGAGCAGCCGGGAGAGGAAGCGTGGATGCAGGGAAGGAAGGCGAGGGGGCGGGACTGGGTGGCCGGCTGCGGCGGGGAGGGATCCGGGGCAGCTCCTCCTCCCCAGGGAAGGGAAAGGCGAAGCCGCCGCCGCCGCAGCGCCCGGGCGCAAGGGGGGACCTGGAGGCAGCTGAGCCGCCCGGGCGCTGAAAGCGGCGGAATCGGGGCCATGTTCAACCGCGGGTCGCGGCGCCGAAGATCGAGCCGAGCCGTGAGTCTCACTGGGGGGCGGCGGGCGGCGGGCGGCTTCGGGCGCCAGCCTGCGCGGAGACCCGCGGTGGCCCTCTCCGTCCCGTAGCAAGCCATTAAGCGGGGGAAGGCTAGAACTTGAACCCGAACCCACTCCCAGAGCGCTGGAATTGGGGGGGCACAGACGGAGAGTGGCGCCCCTACGGGATGTTATTACCTTCCGTCTGGAGGGGCGCAGGGTTTAATGGAAGTCAGCCTTGAGGGTTTCTAAGGGAGGCTATGCCATAAATAAGGCTTTTCAAGGGTGCTGTGGGGTGTCAGGAGCTCCCCTTCCCCATGCCCAGGATTAGGAGGTATTACAGAGTGCTGCGTTTCAGATCCAGGAAAAAGGGACTCAGCACTCTGGCCTAAGAGTTTGATGACACATATGAGGAAAATGTTGTTAGAGCTCCTGAAGGGATTACTGCTGTGAAGCTTTGGGCAATGGAGAGGGTTTTTGTTGCTTTGGGGGGGGGGTGTTTGGTGGCCTTGTGCTATAGGAGGCATCACAAGGGTTTTTCAGGGGAGGGGGTTATAAGGCACTAGGACCTCCCCCTCCCCCCTGAGTACAAGAGAAGATGCTGAGGTGCGGCCTAGGCATGCTGTAGCGTGCTAGAAGCCCTTCTGGGATGGTGTGTTGCAAAACTCATTAAAGGCATGCTGCTGCAGAAGATGCTGTGAGGTGCTCCTGACTGTGCCCTGAATGGGGCACAAAGCTGTGGGAGATGACTGGAGGGAGTCCTCTTGTACTCTTGGGAGGGAATGTTCAGGACTGGGATATCACCGGCCTCTTAGATGGAGATGGGACAGTTGTGGCCCTCCAAATGTTTAGTCTACAGCTCCCATCACTTCTAGCAGCACAGACAACAGTGTGGTATGATGGGAGTTGTAGGACAAAATATCTGGAGGGCTACAAGTTGCCCAACCATGTCTTAGACTGAATAAAGGCTTATGGAGCAGGGTTGTGTAAGGTATATCATGGACAATGTATGGTGGATGCTTTCAGAGAATGTTGTAACCTGTGCCAAATGGATCCATCCTCCATGCTGGCTGAGGATGATGGAAATAGTCAATACATCTGGAGGACCCATGGGGAAGGCTGGAAAGGAGGAATCTTGGGCTAGTCCAGCAAGAACTTTCTTATGTTTTTGTACAAGAGCAAATTCTGAGGGTTAAGGAAGGTATGCTGGAACTGTTAAGAGATGTTGATCCTTAGTAAATTGAAAAGAAATCTCTGGACTATAGGGAGTCCTCTGACAGGGAAAAAAGTAGATTATGCAAGAATGAAGTCAGCTCACCTGGGGATTGTCATATGTTTCCTCAAATATCAATGCTTTGGCCCCTGCATATCCCTGAGGTGCAACCTGCACATCTGTGCTCCTTCATGGCCAGTGTTCAAAAACATCCACTTATATGTATTATTCAAGTGCTAAGGTCAAAGGGCAAGAGCATGTTGTATATCAGCCTTTCTCAACCTGGTGTCTTCCAGATGTATTTGCCAAGCTGGCTGGAGTTAATGGATATTTAATCCAGCACAGCTGGATGATACCAGACTGGGGAAGACTGTTGTAGACAGATTTTTTAACAGGGCCAGTTTTTCCTTTTGAAGATAGTCAAGCATCTTCTGGAGACAATGCACACACACACCTTTTTTCAGGGGGCAGGAAATCAGTTAGCACCTGGCAATATGAAAGGATGTACAATCAGTTTAATAAACTTAAATGGGCTATATATTTTATAAAATATTGTTTCATATCCATTATCTATCCCTGTTCTTGAGATATATTGCTCTTAAGAACTATGAAGGTTTGAGAGTGGCAGTGTTTATAAATCTGAATAGAAAAATGGGGTGCGTGTATGTGTTGGTCTTTATGGAGCATTGCATGGCAGAAGCTTTCCGGCGGACCTAAACAGGTGCTTTCGAAGTCAGCTCTGGAGCTTATGAGGAATTCTGTGCATCTCTGAGCAATAGGAATATCTAGGTGAGAATTGAAGCTTGAGTGGAGTATGGTGCCAGTAGGATTTTCTCTCTGCAGTCAGTTCTTGCTGGACTGTATTCAGTATTTGCTTTCTGGGAGGAATCCTCCAGAATAATAGGGCCCCTGGAAGTTTCCCTTCTGGTTCATGGAGACTTCTGAGATTGCTTGAAGGGTAGGGTTTAGCCTCCAAGTCCCACCTTCAGGGGTACCTTCTGTGTTGTTCCTGGTCTGTACTTACTAATTTTTACTTCACAAAGTACCATGGACACTGATGGCACTAAATAAGTAACAAGGCAAAATAATGCAATGTAAAATTTTGATACTGTGAGGAGACCACAAAAGGAGTGCAGGGAGAGAAGTCAGCTAACGTGGTATAAATACCAAACTGTATTACATGTTCTTGAGATTCTTTTCAAGTGGGGCCAGGGACTAAAGGCTAAACTAAACTTTTATAGTTATATCATGGCTTTTTCTGCCCAAAAAGAACCAAAAAAACAAGGTAGCTTACATCCTCTCTATTCTGAGAGGTGGGATAGGTTGAGAGTCAGTGATTGGCCCAAAGTGAGCTTCATGTCCAAGTAGTGAGCTTCAGGACCAAATGGCAACTAGAAGCTGAAGTCCCAGTCCCAGAAGTGGAGATGGGGAGAGAAAGGGCAGCAGGTGTTCTGCAAGATAGTTCCTAGCATAAGGGGCCTCAAAAGAGAACGGATGGAGGTGTTTAAGGAAGCCACCAATGTTTTGTCTGGGAGTGGTTGAGCTGGAGGAGTAATAAGCAAAGATATATTGAGAATCAAGGGGAGAAGAGAAGAGAAGAGAAGAGAAGAGAAGAGAAGAGAAGAGAAGAGCAAGGTGGGGTGATCCTTTGGAGAATTTTGAAGTGAAGGACCAGGAATAGTGATGGCCACCAACACGAATGTATTTCAAAGGGTGTTAGACACATTTGATGTTCGTCCATTGTTTTCGATGAGGACCTTGACATCTAATGGGTTGTGAGTTGTCCACGATGTGTCCGCAGATGACTGATAAGGCCAATATGGGCATGAAGTGTTCTGCCACATGTCAGGCAGACATGTGTGGGCACCATTGTTGCAACGTTTGCAACTCTGGCTTTACAGAGTGCTCGCTTCTCTTGTGCTATGGTTGTCCTTCTGGCTTCTTCAGAAGTTTGGCAGCCTTAGTGGATCAACGTGCGCCATGTCAGTCGGTCTTGTGCCAGGGTCTCCCAGGAGGTGGTGTCGATAACCAGGGACTTGAGAGAGGCTTTCAGCGTGTCTTTGTATCGCTTCTTTTGTCCCCCGTGTGATCGCTTTCCTTGAGACAGCTCACCATAGAAGAGCTGTTTGGGGATGCGGTCGTCTGGCATCCTTGCAACATTTATACAGCTTAGGGCTATCAGTGACTTCTAGGTCTGATGGCTGTATATGACCCTCATATCAGAGGGTGTATGCAGTTCCTACATGCCAGTTACTGCAATTCCTGCATGCTAGTTATTGGGGAACATCGACCAGAGAGTGCTTTTGCATTCAGGTCCTCCCACTTGTGGGTTTCTTAGAGCCATTTGGTTGGCTACTGTAAAAACAGAATGCTGGATGAGGTACGCTTTTTGGCTCATCCAGCACAGTTCTTCCTAAATTCTGCAGAGTTTGTGATGCATGAAAAAGGCAATGAGGAGCCAGTGAAGGTTGAAGACATGATAGGAAGTTGTGCTACTGCTGTACACAGACAGGGCCATTATTCTGCAAAGGCTGCTACAGCATTGCTGTGACATGGTAGCCTGCAATCTGAAGGTGGTGCTTGCCAAATAAAGGCTCTTTCACAGCCATGGTCACCAAAGGGCAGGTGCTCCTGGAGAAGAAGGGCAAGACTCTTCCCTCCTTTCCGTTTGCAGAACTATTAGACCAGTAGTGGTACTGAGCATTATGCCCCACTGCATTTGAGGGCAGCAGGCTGAGGGGTTGGCATAGCAGGCTGCTGTCTCACTCTGGCCTCAGAAGATCTCGCCGCTGCCCTGCATACCCTAGCAAGTGTTGCTTGTGACAGCTGCCTCCCTCTTTCGAATGTTAGGGCCTCTTGTATTGCAGGTACTTTGCAGTAGACCTTCATGTGGCATGTGCTCCAGTGTGGGGTGATACATGGAACAGATGTTTCCAAGGTTTGCCTTGAGGTGGGTGGGGATGAGGTGGTTAACTCTCCAGCTGCCCTGGATGACCCAGTTTGCCTGTTCTAGGGCAGTCTAGGTTAGGCCCACACTTCTTGCTTTGTGTTTAGGACACATGGGTTGCCTGGTGCAGATGGACACATCTGCAGTAAGCATGTTTGTGAGTGCATAACACCTCATAGAACCATAGAAGAGTAGAGTTGGAAGGGGTCAGAAGGCCATTGGCTCCAACCCCTTGCTTGGTGCAGGACACCAAGTTAAACCATCCCTCTTATGGTTTATCCGCTGCTTATCCAACATTTTTTTCCATCACAACAGGCTATCTGTTGGCAATCTTTCTTCTCTTTATATTTCCCCCCTCCTTTTCTTTGAACACAGATAAGGAGTTGGAAGCAAATCTTAGTACTTGAAGTTCCAAATTTCAAGGTGAAATAGAGCCTGGGGATTCAGGTGTGTATATATGAGGGAAGGAGAGAATGAAGAGGAGTTCAAAAGCGTTCAGCCTCTGTGATTCCTGATTTGCTGAAATGCTGTAATTGGGAACTCCACATACCCAAATCCTGAAGTAATGGATCAACAGTAATATTTCTCTTTCAGTTAACAGCAGGATTATTTAAGGCATTTCTAGGTCATGCTGGGTCATTGGCGGGAGGAGTGGGGGAGGAACAAGGAGGAACTGTTCTGTGGGAGAAAGTATAGGAGCCACATATGGTACATCCCAAATCTGGGATGGGAATAGGAGGTGGGGGGAGGGGTTGCATATTACGTCAACCATGGCAGATTTCATTTCTAAAAGCTTCATCTGATGAAATGGATCTCTCACCCTCTTGAAATCCCTTTTAAGCTGCAGCCAGTTGGCTGGTATTTGATCTAGCCAGAAGCAGCAGTTGGTAGATGTGGGAGAGTAATTTCACCTGGGGATATGGAGCAGTATGTCAGACACCATATAATGTTTTGGACTTAGTCTTGCTTCTTCTAGCTGGATTACCTTTAGTGACTGCTGGTTTTGTCATTTTTTTCTGTTCAAAAACTCCAGGGCTTCTGAGCACATGCAGAGTGCTTTTCCCTGGATAATTTAAATGAAACAAACAAAAAAAGATCTGAAGGCAAAGTTCTGCTGAGGCCCAGCTGAGTGCCCTTTTTTTTTTGTTTGGAAAAAAAGGGGTTTTTTTTTTTTTTTTTTTTGTAAGTTGACATAAGGGCCAGGTGGCTCCCATTCTGAAGGGTGTAGTCTTCTTTGGAACAGGGAAATAACTATGCAAGCATTTAAACACACAGACGTTTACTCACTTTATTTTTTATTATTATTTAATTTTTATGATTGTTGCTTCTCAGCCAAAAAAAACTTGTTACAGTACAGCTTACATATAATCAATTAAGCAAGACATCTTAGCTTTACATCTTTCAGTTCTGGCAACTCTCCTGAAAGGTGAAATTCCAATTTAGTAGGGATTTTGGTTTTCTGGTTTATTTCATTTATTTATTTTTAAAAGTTATACATAAATGTTCTACATTTATTTATTTTTGTTTATTTATTAAAAGCTTTTCTATTCCATCCCCTACAAACATCTCAGGACAGCTTACATTGCCCTGCTTACATGCTGGAAGTTATAGCTCCCTTTTCTGTCTAAATTTGTTTAGGATCACAAGCTTGCATTTAACAAAACTATGAGAAATAATATAAAATCAATGACCGCCATTTCAAGTTGATTCTTCAAACTTTGGCAAGTGAAATGGCTTATTGGTATTCCAGAGCTCACCTTTGCAGTTCTTCCACTTCCATCTTGATGTCTGCATCGGTGGGTGCCTCCTCCGTCATTCTGTTCACCTATTTGAATGCACACATGCCAGAAGCCTTTTCCTGCCCAGTTCCAGGCACTGCTTCAGTGATTCTTGCCTGGGGGGAAATGGGAGCGGCTTCTGGCAACTTTTCCTGTTCCTCTTTCTGGTGTGTGGTTCCCCACTCCTCTTTCACTGGCACAGTGAAACCCAAACAAAAGAGGCCAGGGGGATGAAAAGCCACAGAAGGGGGGACGCTTCGGTTCCACATGTTGCTGCAGAGAGCAGACCTTTCTCCTTCCTCTCCCTACCTCCAGCAGGCACTTTTGGCTGCCCACTTTTTTCAGCAACCTGTGGTGGCAGGAAGCCAGCATCCAGCCTCTTTCTGCCTTGCTTGAACTGAGCCGAGGCAGGTCCTGGCCTGTGTGTGGCTTCTGGCACCTCCTCCCACGATCCCCTGCTGGTTCCATACAGGAATGAGCTTCCTTCCAGCCATTTTCTTTTTAGGCCCACACAGGAACAGCATTTCCATTCACAAAGCCCCTGGCCATGGAGACGAGTACTTCTGCCATCATTCAGGAGGGCTGGTGGGATGAAGTATCCGCGTTGCCACAAACAAACAGGTGTGGAGTCACCTGCCTGTGTCGACACAGGCCTCTGTCGCTATGGAAACAGCCAAGAGACCTTGTACAAATGTCTCCGCGCTTAAGAGAGGTGTTGCCCTAGGTTTTGAAAGCAGGCCTCAGACTAACTGTGCCCTGCCCCCAAGTCAAATCTGGACTCCCGAGTCCTTCTTCCAAGTGTTGCATCTAGCGGCCCTGTGTAAAGGTGCCACATGGGAACTGTGGAGAGGTACTGCTGGGTTGTTGCTGGTATTGGTTGTACCTATTCTTGGATTGGCGAAGCTCCTGAGGCTGCAGTGTTTGGGTGTTGACAGTAATCAAATGGGAAATGGTTACTGGCCAAACTGGTGGGAGGATGCTGGCTTTGCAATGAAATGTATGAAAGCATGCTGGGAATTGTGGTACTCCTATGTCTTGGTGGCTGATTTCTTGTCTCTGTCTCATACCAGCTCCCTGAGGTGGAGGATCCTGACCGAGGCCAGCCGTGTCAGGCATGTGGGGAGCAGTGCCCAGGCTTCCTAGTGCATGGGTGGAGGTAAGAGAATGTATTACCCATCCCCCACTTCCAACAAATTCCCTTTCATCTTCCATGGATTTTTTCTCTCCCCCATAAGGATAATTTGGTCTATATAAGTATTCTTTGCATTGTATAGCCTGAAGTACCTGATCCTGCCTAACCTTGGAAGCTAAGTAGGGTCAGGCCTGGTTGAAATCTGGATGGGTGACTTAATGTTGTGAATGGCCCAGAGAACTTTCACTATGGGCGGTATAGAAATGTAATGTCAATAACAACAACAACAGTGCTTCACCCTGTGTTTATCATGCTGCTTCATCCATCTTTCTTTTCTTTTCACTCCATTGGTCTCTCATACTTCAGTCCTTTACACACTTTAGGGAGCAAGCCCCGCTGAAAACACCGGGGCCTGCTTCTGAGTAAACATGCATCAGATTGTGCTGCGTTTCTCTCTCTCTCTCTCTCTCTGCTGTTTTCCATTCATAGTTGCATCTCCCTCTTGTTGATTTTTATTCAGTTTGTCGGACACTCTTTTTCTTCCTCTCCATTGTTGGCTTTAGACATCTTGTACTTTGTACCCTCAAGCATTTTCAAAAGAGTTCCAGATGAGTTGAAACATTGCCCTACTTCTTTTCTCCTGTTGCTGTTGATTTTTTTTCTCTTAATTCTCTTATATTTTTATTTGTCCCTTCTCTTTTCACATTCAGCCCTTCTATCCATCTTTTTCCAAACACATCCCCTGCTAGATTTAGCCCTTTATTTCTTACATTCAGTCCTCTTTATTTTCCTTTCCTTTCTTAAAATAAATGCATAAATAAAAGTGTTGCAGCAGAAAAGCAGTGGGGTGGAAGCAATGCTCTTTTCTCTCTCTCTCCATCACTCACACAATTTAGCCTCTGGGATAGCTGCCACCCTGTGTGCTTAGTTGTGCTTCTGCATTTTCACGCTTGACGTTGCTCTCACTGTGTGCTGTTGCCGAACCATCCTTGCCTTTCTCTGAGCATGCAAGGATTGTAAGACACCATGGTGAAGTGAGCTTGGGAATCTTTCCTCTCCTCTGTCTTGGATAAGCTGCTGACCCTAATGTACAGGAGCATGGACCATTGGGCCCTTTTGCCTGTAGCATCAGTCCCTTTGGCCCAGCTATAGGAAGTAAGCATGGTCTGTATCAAAATGCCCTTGCTTTGCAGGGTTCTAGATAAAATAGAGACACACACTGATCTTTTGTTGTTTGGGTTTCTAATGTAACAACACCAACAAAGATCTTGGTACAGGGTTGGAATGAGTTTGCTGTACTTCTCTTCATCTCTTTCCCAGCCACCATATTTGAATGCATCTCAGGAATGTAGGAAGCTGCTAGGGGTTCATCTAGCCCTGTAATGATGCCGATCAGATTCAATGGGCTCTCCAGGTTTTCAGGCAGGATTCATTCCTTGTCCCGCCTGGAGATGTTAGGGATTGAATCTGGGACCTTCTGCATGCAAAGCATGAGCTCTCCCCCCAAGCTACAGCACCCCCCCATCAAAAGTAACCATCTTTCTGTCAAATTACTCACAGTATCCAGTTTCTTCCTCATAACTTGTTCTTGAAAGATTCCTTGGACTTTCCAGTCTTAATACGGTGGCTGTGTTGCCCCAGTTGTGGAATTCGCTCCCCAGAGAGGTTTGCCTGGCACCGTCACTTTATTCTGTTTGGCACCAGACCAAACCCTTTTTGTTTTCCCAATGTTTTAAGACCTGACTGTTTTAATTGGGATTTTATTATTAGTTGGATTTTTTTATTACATTTTGTATTGTTAAACTGTTCCAAGACTCAGTAATGGGACAGACTAGACAAGTTTTAAATAAATAAAATGTGAAACTGTCTTTTGGGACCTCCACCCAAGGGGGAGTGTTTGTACATGGTGGTTAACATAGTATTGCACATTTAGGATTTCTTGATGCCTGACCAAAATCCATTTTTTATTTTAGGTGTTTTAAGTCTTTAACACATCCGAGTGTTGTCAGACTCAATAAGTGGATGAATTATTAAGTCTTGAGGAAGTGTGGTTACTGTTTTGTTTGTTTATAGCATTCCTTGGTAGCAGCAGGGCTTGAACATTGCAGGGCCTCTTCGGTGTTCTGTGGCTGTGTCACTGTAGACAGTCCCCTTCTTCTGCAGGAAGATCTGCCAACACTGCAAGTGTCCGCGGGAAGAGCATGCAGTGCGTATGGTGCCTGTCGACCTGGAAAGGATGATGTGCCGCCTCATCTCTGACTTCCAACGCCACTCCATCTCAGATGACGACTCAGGCTGTGCCTCAGAGGAATATGCTTGGGTGCCCCCAGGACTCAAGCCCGAGCAGGTGATGCTAATAACTTCAGTGGAGAGTGGGGCACTCCTCTTGGTATCTTCAAAGGAGCTATTTTCCTTAGGGGTGCAGCAGTAGAGGAGATAGTTAAGTTAATTCTTCACACCTGATAATAATGAGCCCTCTCCCCAATGCTATCTGGATCTGTAAATTCTTGCACAGCTAATTAACCTCACATCTGGTTTGGCCCTTGTTTTGTACTAATGTAACTGTCATGGTTTTCCCCAAATAAACCTGGAGATTGCAGTTTCCTGAATGCCTTGAAACTTGTTAGCATTCTTACTCTATCCCCACCCCCTCAAAGTACAGTTTCCAGGGCTCTTAGGGACAGGAAAGGGATAATAAAATATGTAAATTAGATTGCTAGTCTTCAGAAATCATTTTCACATGAGATAGCTTTCCCCATTGGAGGAAGCCGTTGAGGAAGCAAAACAAGTGACTTGTGAATTGGGGCCCTATGAAGTCAAAAAGAGGCAATTTTGTTGAATTCCTTTCTGACCCAGAAACTTTGCCACCTCATGATAGTCTAAGATTATAATAATAGCTTTAAAACAAGTGGGCTGCGCCGCAAGCTGTTCTCTTTGTGGTATTAATGTTGATTGTAAGGTGTGGGAAATAAAAGCAGAGGCAGGTGTATGATTATAATAAATCACCCAACCAAGATGCCAGCCATGGCCCTTGACATATTGAGTGCTCCAGGTTCTCTGTGAGGAACTACAGTGAGTTTGCTTTTAAATACACAACCAGAGAAGGAACAGAACAGTCTAGCAGAGCCAGCTTAGATGGCTGAATTCCAGGGACTTTAATGTCCAAATGACAAGAGAATCCAGGCGGTTTGGGAAAATCTGCTAGAACAGTCCTACATATCCATCAGACAGCTTGGTCTGAGAGGAGGGGAGATTATGCCTTTTTCTGCCCTTGTCTCTGGCAATGGTTAGGAACAGTTCAAAAAGGATGTAATAAGGAAGGGACTAAAGGCAGTAATTGGGACTGCAGGTGGCACAGTGGTTTAAACCGCTGTGCTGCTGGGCTGGTTGATCGAAAGGTCGCCGGTTCAAATCTGCACAACGGGGTGAGTTCCCGTGCTCTGTCCCAGATCCTGCCAACCTTGCAGTTCGAAAGCATGCAAATGCAAGTAGATAAAAAGGTACCACTTTGGTGGGCAGGTAACAGCGTTCTGTGCACTTCAGTGTTTAGTCATGCCGGCCACATGACCACGGAGACTGTCTGCGGACAAATGCTGGCTCCCTCGGCCAGGAAACGGAGATGAGCACCACCCCCGAGAGTCAGGCATGACTGGACTTAATGTCAAGGGGAAACCTTTACCTTTATCTCAAAGGCAGTAATTAATAACACCAGGTCCTTCCTTTCCTCCAAGATACTTAAGGTGCCATATCCCCGCCCTCCCCCCCCACCAACACACACACGCTTCAGCTTCACAATAAACCTGTGAGAGACGGTGACTGTCCAAATGTCCTCTAGCGAGCAACTTGGCTAAGTGGAAATGTGAACGTGGGTCTCCCTGGTTTTAGTCTCTAACCACCGCTAACTGTGCTGGCTGTCAAGACACAGATCCCTCCTGCTATATACTAAAAGACAGAAGAGGCGGGGCAGCAATCCAGCATGAGTGCTAAACAATTGTTGTCTGAGCAATTTTTTAGCTGTGTGGGTGCATATGATGCAATTTTGGTCCCTGTAGTATGGATTACTACTTAAGGCCTGTGGACAAAGAGTTTTCCTGATTGCTTCTGTGGGAACAGAACTTCTTAGCAAATATCTCTGCTGTGCACATCAGAAAGGAAAACCCTTGCTTGCAGCAGTTTTGCATTAGCTTTGTCATTGTTGGGTTCCGCAGTCCTAGAGCCAGAGAGACTGGTGCAAGGCTGGCCTAAGCCATTGTCTTGCGTGGGATGAAGGACAGAATCCCTGCCCCCAGTTCTGCATACAGAAGCTGATTTAGCTGGCAACAGGCTGGCAACAGCAGTGTCCTCCACTGCACCTGATCGCAAGCTGGGCATCACAAGGGGACTCAGGGAGAAGGGAGGCTGCCATTGCCACACACACTGTGTCCCCAGTATCTACTGCCTGAGGTGGGTGCCTCACTTTGGCCAATGCTAGGTCCACCTCTGTCAGGGTAGCTACGATATTTTTCCATCTATAAGACACCCCCAAGTATAGGACGCCCCCACTTTTCTTACTCATCTCCGAGCAAGCAAGCTGCCGCTGCGCTTGCTGCCCCCCCACATGCACGTGCTGCCTTGATGCTCCCCCCGCACGCACGCCTCGATGCCCCCCCATGCACGCCATCTCCCCACACCTTGCTGCTCCCCCCGCGCACATGCCACCTCACCGCCCCCCCAGTGTGCCTACAATTGCGCCAGTCTCTCCACCCCCGCCAGTGTGGCCGCAGTTCTCCTCTCTGCCCCCCCATGTTTAAGACACCCCTCCATTTTGAAGGAAATATTTTTAAGAAAAAGGATTGTCTTATACACAGAAAAATATGGTAAATTGCTTTCTAAATCATATCTAGCAAAATGCAAAGGGAGAAGTTCTATTTTGCAAAAGGGAGAAACTTTTTTTGAGAGTTCTTTGTGAAAAGTACTGTATATGTTCCCTTTCTTGGAAAGGTAACCTTAAGTGCAGTGTTTTGATTCTCTCTCCCACCCCACCAAAATGAGTGGTAACAGTTCTTAGTTCTGGGAAGGAAAATTATGGAATGTGTTCAGGGATGTGATTGTGGTGAGGGGGAGGCCTAAAATGGTAAGAATCAGTCTGTCCCTCTGCACCCCGTCTGACAGTGAGTTAGATCCCATTGCAATCAGTGCAGCAAATTATGCATCATTCCGATTCTATGATTTCAATTGGAATGGGTAACCTCAAGTAACAGTCTGGGTTCAACCCATTCTCTCTATTGGATCAAGGGATCTAAATTCTGGAAGCAAACTTCCAGAACAAAGCATAGAACATTTCTTCAGGTGGAGCTATTCAAAGCACAATATTTTAAAAGTACAAAGTCATTCGCCTGCACTGATGCTAACCTTGATAAGCTTAGGTGTTCTTCAAAACAAAGGTTAGGAAGGTTTAAATAAGGGACAGTATTAATTTGATTGCAAACCCATTGCTGCCTTGTTGGGTGTGTGTGCATGTTGTATAACTTGATCACTTCAGCAAGGCCAGACTGCTTGTAATCTGATTAGCACAGCTCTTCTTTTAAGGGGATTGCAGTGGAACATTTCTTTGGCACTTCTTGTTCCATTCTGTAGGGCTTTTCATTGTGGAAAGTGTTTGCCTTTCTTATCCCCTGGATTATCAGGAGAACCCTGAGAGGCTTGTTAATTGGACTGAAGGAGAGAGTGCTTTTCCAAGGCCACCCACTGAGCTGTGAGTTTAACCTGAGGGGGCCAAGGTGATCTTTGTCCTGTTCACCTAAATAGGTCTCATTGTTTGTCTTTGATCCATTTGGAAAGCATCACTTCCTGCTCCCTCCTCAGCTTCCTATAGTCAGACTTAAAGTGACTTTCCTATCCTCCCACCTACACTACTGTGTGCAGAAGATAACAGCTAAAGTAGAGATTCTGCATTTATCTAGCATCTCAGTTAACTGCTGTTGTTGAAACAGCTGGAAAAGGGAGTTTTCAGTGAGGGGAGAATCCACATTTGGATAGATGTGGCTATTCTGTGTGTGGTGTGGGTGAATGGGATTGTGACCTCAGGCCCCACTCTTCATCTCCCCAGAAACATGCTGAGTCTGTCCATGGGTCTGTTTAGGGTGTAGTCCTGTGTGTGTTTAGACAGAAAGAAGTACTACATTTTTCCTGTGTCAACACAGATTGGATTGCATCGTTAGTTTAGTAGCATCTGTAGTGTGGTTCTCAGACATTTCTCCCTCCACCTCCTTCCCGTTTGCTCTACTGCTTGCGACTCTTAGATGGAAAACCTTGCAAGCTGAACCCGAAACTTCATGTGTGCAAATCATGTTGCTGAACTAAGCCTTCCTGCTGCTGAACTAAGCCTTCCTGTCATCAGTCTGGGGATCAATAGCAATAGCAATAATTGTATAGTCATTGTAAATATTTATGTCTGCTGAGTGCTGAAATACCTGAAGTGTCCTTCCAACATTTTGAGCCCTAATCAGTTCTCTCACTGGCCTCCCCTCCCTGGCTTTTGCATAGCATGGGACTCCTGGAAACTGGCAGGGGAGGAAGAGGAGAAGGGCAAGCCTCTTCCTGAGCCACTAGCATCAGGTCCAGTAACTGTGCTGCAGGTCTACCTTTCTTCCCTCTCCTCTGTTTGTTTGACCTCTAAATGACTCTCTTAACCCTCAGGTATATCAGTTCTTCAGCTGCCTCCCAGAGGACAAAGTCCCCTATGTCAATAGCCCCGGAGAGCGGTACCGCATTCGTCAGCTACTGCATCAGCTTCCCCCACACGACAGTGAGGTGAGGGGGACATTTTATGGTTATAGGAATGGGGGAGGGTGTCCTTCAGAGCACTCCTTTCCTAGGAACTGGTGTCTTGCACAAAGTCCAGCACCTGAGCAGGCTGACCAGATGCAAAAGAGGCTCCTGCACCTTTAACAGGGGTGCAAAATTGGGAAGTTCAGCAAATATACCTTGTCATTCCTTCTTCAACCCAACTGTGTAAGGTGCAGGGACCCTGTCCTTCTTTCCATCTCTCCCATAGCAGAATGGTGTAGTGTTGGTGGTTTATGAAGGAATACAAAGATTGCTATATCTTTATTTGATTTGATTTTTATCCTGTCCTTTTAGCCATAAGGTTCCCTGGGCAGGTTACAAAGCTAAGAAAAATAACAATAAAATCTGACCATCTACACACTGCAGTTCCTGTGCTATGTGCTGGAAATTGTGGGCCCTTCCTCTCAAAATTCAGCAGTTGGAGCAAATGAAACCAGTCAACAAATTGCTCACTCTTTTCTTGTTTTTGATAATTGTGCTCAATTTTTATGGTTTATTCAGAACCTGGAGAATTTGTATTCTCTCTTACTTATATTGTGGTGTGAGGATACAAGATAATCCAGATACACAGATGTGTAAGGGTGTGAAAGAGGAGCAAATAGGATGGTTTCGCACAACAGGGGAAGCAAAATAAGCTCAAGGGGCATGCATACTCCCCCCCCCCACACATGTGCTGGTTGTACACTGTGGAATTACTGTAATTATTCTCATCAGGTGGGGTTTGTCATATTGCCAGAACCTTTTGAGCCAGGTGGGCAGGTGGGTTTACAAACTACCCCACAACCGTAGAAGAAACCATTGCTTCCAGGGTGGCTTGTAAGCTATCGCTGACCACCATCCTCACTGATTTCAAACGATAGGACAAGCTGCACCCAGCAAGAGTAATTACAGTAATTCCATAGGATGTGACTAGCACATGCGGGGCAGGAAAATCAGCTATGGTGGCTTCTTTTCCTTCCCCAATCATGTAAAGCTGTCCTTTGACATATGAGTCAGAAGTGCCTCTCACAAGCTTCATTTTGTGCAGAGACAACACTCAAACTCCTGCTTTTACTGGCCTGTAATCTTTGTAAATGAAGTTGGTGGGCATTAATGACAGGGTCTTTTTGGCAGTGGTGCCTCTGTTGGAACATCAATTCCCTGGGGAGATTAGAACAGGCTCCTCTCCCTGTTTTTTGGATGGTTTTTGAAAAGTTCAGACAGGCATTTGGAAGGCAGTGACAGATGGTTTTATTGCTGCTTTGCCATTTATATTTTTTGTATTCTGGTAACAATTTTAGCTTTTTACTAGTGCTTTTGAGTTTGCATATTATGATGAATTTCATTTCTATGAAAAGGTTATACAGTGTGGGATGGAGATGAAAATGAGAGGAAGAAAACACAATTTTGTCTGATCGGGATCTGGCAACTTTCATGCACACTGTTGTAATCTCTTACCTGGGGCTGCCCTTGATGAGGTTTTGGGAGTTTTTGTACAGTCCTCTGCTTCTCACCAGGGGAGCATCACTGGCAGCACATCAGCCAGTGCTTGATGACTATATTGTCCTCTATTGCTATCAGGAGACAAGTTGCCAAGCTAGTTTTAACTGGGAGAGCCTTTGAGGGCTTGGGGCCAATGAAGTACCTCAGAAATGGCCTCCTCACTGATCACTGCCTTTCAGCTGTCAGCTGAGATCTCCTGTTTGACAGTCACCTTCCAGATACTGTGTTTGAACAATGAGGGGACATGTGGTAATTTCCTTGGTGGCTGCCTTACGACTATATAAAAATCTCTGGAGCCTGAAATTGGGGGGCAGGTTTCCTAACTATCCTACCATTCTTAATTGCAAGGAAAAGCTGCATGCACATGCACTCCTTCCTTCTTACTGCTGTATGTTGGCCTACCTTAGCTTGCTGTCCTCCAGAAGTGTCAGACTACAACACTCATCATCCCCCAGACAGCAGCCTGCTTCCCTTTCACATGTTGGATTGGGGAGTGTTTGCAAGCACATAGCTATCGTTTTCAAACTTCTTAAAGCAGCCCTACTGCTGTTTCACTCCAGCCCATCTTTTCCAAGCTTTGGCAGGGGGGTACATACATAGGAGCAGGTTGCAGGAGTCTGTGATTCAAGGCACATGGGTCCTTTAACAGGACAGCTGTGCCTTTCTCCTTTTCTTGGTTGCACACCATGTTCTTTCTTGGCAAAGAAGGACCTGCCTGGCTGATGCAAGCATTGCTGTGGAAGAGAAGGAACAGGCAGCTCCTTCTTCCAGTTGTTCCTTACCGAGTTTCTGATCATGACTCTCAGGGGAGAGAGAGAGAACACCCCCTACCATTTTTGCTTCTTTGCCGACATTCCAGCATTTCCCTGCCATGTGTCCCACAACCACCAGGAAGTTCTAGACATTATTTGGAATTTAGGGGTTAAAACAAGTGCTACCATCAGAAAAAGAAGGGATTTCTCCCAGATGTGGTACTTGCTCAAACTCTGTGCCCTTTCACCTCCTGCAAGTGTACTGTGACCTCCTTTTCAGTCTTTGGCAGCTGTCTGCCTCTAGGGCATTCCTCTTCTTTACAATTGGGGTTAATCTGTATATACTTGTGGCAAAGCTGATAATTGCCATGAAAATACATACATTATGTACTTTATGCAAAGTATACAGAGCATGATACCTGTTTTGTGTTTGCATATTTTTGATTTTAACACTCTAGAAGAGAGTGAATTCTGTGGTTCATAAAATCATGCAAGTTTGCTTTTCTTTTTGGGTAGCACATTCCTCTTTTGCTGGATATATGATGCTTCTGGGCAAGGCTTCCCTTCTCCTTGCCTCATTCATAGAATTTTGCTGGGCAGGCATGACCTCCTGATAATAATGTCTTCCATTTGCAATCTTCCCATGTTTGCCCACTCTTTCTGCTGTCACCCTTTCCATTAAAGATATTAAGTTGGAATAGCTACACAGTGCATTTTGATGGGTAGTGCTAAGAGCTGTTCTTCTGGAAGCACTCAAAGACAGGTGCAGGGACTGTGCTGGTCTCAAAGCCCAGTTGCTGCTTTTGGAGTTTCCATAGGTCATTGCTGGAGTGCTTTCAGTAACAGCAAGATAACTGCTACCTTTAAAAATGAAAATAAAAGATCTCAAGATGCTGACTGCTGCTCAAAATAGCAGTTTATGCACTCACACAGGGTTGAAGAGTGTTCCAGGTCTGGACAGGAAAAAAGAGAGAGATGAAAAGTTCTTTTGGCAGGCTGGGTACTTCATTTCAAACTTTACTCAGATTGAAGGTTCCTGTGCTAAATGCCTTCGCTCACTTCTTTGATAATGTTGCATGTTGCTCTCCAGAGGCTAGTTTAATCATTAGGCTAAGTGTTCTCTAGAGAAGAGGCCCCATCTGGTACAGTTTTCTGATTACTCCCCAGGGTAGCAAATGTAAGCCGCTTCTCTCTCTGGGTTCCCTGAACTGTCTCTTGGAGCAAGAGAGTTAAGGTTGCTATTAACTTGTTGATTCTTGCTGTGCCTGCAGAACACAGGCGTAGCAATTTTCCCCTCACATGTGTGAGGAAGATCTGATTGGTGGTGTGGATACAGGTAGGGGCTGTGTACTGATTAACAAGCAACAAGAGATGCAACATGGCCTTCGTTCAGATGTTTGTTTATTTCACTTGCTTATATCCTGGGTGGAATCCAGACTTAGCCACAGAAAGTTGGATCCACCAGTTTAGGGAGTTAGGCTCAGAATTAGTCATACTTAGACTAGAAACATGGAAATAGAACTTAAGGTTACATTCCACTTGTTTCCGTGGCTGTGCTCACTGAATATGTGGCTAGGTCAGGGTCCAACCAGACTGAACTGCTTGGCTGCTGAGGTCTTCTGAAAGTTTGCAGAGAACCTCAGGTTGCCTAATAAGGAGTATAGATGGCTGGGTGGTGTGGGCGAAACCTGCCTAGCATTTGGGAACTGGTTAAAATGGTTCTTCTCCCTACCCGTTCACACAGATAACAAATTCCAGGATTTCAATAAGGGACACAGAGCAGAGATAGTGGTTAGCCTGACCTTCTGGTAAGAAAGCCACCACTGGCCATGATTCACTCTGGGTGCAAAGCGATACTTCTGTGTACATAGCATTGGACACTAGAGTAGAAAACCGGTTCAGTTTCAGATTAGAAGTGTGCATAAAGATGGCATTCAGGATTTTATGCATTTACTAAGGTGAGAATGAGAGGTAGGCAACACATGGCCTGCATGTACCCCTGATTGGCCCCTGACCACATGCCATCAAATTCTGTAGCTGTGATTTTTTTCTTCTAAAAACAAGAAGAAAGGGGGCTGTAGTGCTACAGAGCGCTAACAGGCTAAATCTAAAACATGCTAAATGTACTCCTGTGGCAGTATGAATAGTAGGCAACTTATATTTAAAAAAAAAGTCTTCGGGTGCCTTCCTGAGGGGAGTCCACGAGGAGGACATGCCCCCACCCTGTCTAAAGTCACAAACTGGGGCAGTCCCCATAATTGGGACGAACAGGCAACATGGCAGCAGAGGCTCCTGCATATTGGTAAGGCCTCGCAAATGGGCACTGGGCAGTCAGGACTGTGCAGGAGGAAGGAGCCACTTGGTTCTGACAATTTGGGCAACACAAACAATGGCTTTTGAGGCACATGAGAGCCCAGAATTGCTCTCAGAATTGGGCTGTGTGCCTATAATGCCCAACAATTAGTTTTGGGGTCCCTTCTCAGAAGCAGAAGTAACCCCAATGGAAAATGCACCTAGAGATGTAGGCTAGAGGGCAGGGTGGGCATTCTGTAAAGTTTCTTTGCCAGGCTGGATTTGGAACAGATTAGGACTCTTGACCTCCTAAAGACGATTGCAGGGAGAAGATTGGATAAGGTTCCGATTAGTATAGAGAAACCAGCTGTGGGGCTGTAATTTATCCTTCCTTTTAATGAGAGCCAGAAGATTCCTGGTGAAATTAACAGGCAAGTGGGCATGCTAGAAAGGAGGGTGGCGCTTCCCTCACATGGGCCACAGTAAACCGTGGAGCCTGCTGCCAGGATGTGTCGTGAAGGCAGAGCAGCATAGAGCTTCCTGTGCCATGAGAGCAGGGACTGCAGGTGCCGAGAAGCCAAGCCTGGTCACAGTTACAAGGCCCTGCCTTGTCCTAGGGCAGTTGTTACACAGTACTGGCTAGAACCTGGTGAGCTTCCCAAGGTGGGGAGGGGTGAGTGAGTTAGGAGAAGGTTGCAAGGCAAGGACTTGATGTGCACTGCAATTGGTGGGAATCTTTCAGGCCAAAGCAGTCTGGGGGGAGCACCATGAACATTATTACAGAAAGAGAATAAAGTGAGTATGAGCACCTCTTGGGCAGGTATTATATTCTGCAATTGCATCATAACGCCTGGCAAGAGGTGCACACTTTACCCAATGCAGTTTTTATTGGTTTGTTTTTACTTAGAAGCAGGTTTCAGTCCTTTGGCTGTGAATACAGGCCTGGGAGTGTTTAGGGAGGCATCTCAAAATGGTGCAGAGAAGGTGAGGATGGGCTTTGTGTGAATCTCTGCTGTGATGTCATAGGCACCACTGGATACAATGCAGTAAGACTGCAAACTTTTTGTGGCTGGGACTTGACCTTTCCTGATTCTTCATAATTTAACATGCTACCTTGGTGATGCTTTGTAAATAATCAAGAAAACAATTGTGTTGCCACTGGTAAGGAGGAACCTGTATTTTTCCAGCTACTCAGGATTGCTTGTCTTATGCATCACCCATGACTATTGCTTGTAGCTCCCCCTGAAACAAATGTGAATAGCACTACAGTCTTGGAAGACCTCCAGCTTTGCACTGGATGGCTCCTCCATCTCTATCACATTCTCCAACATGCAGTGCAGTTTTCTTCCTCACAGGGCAAAAGCTTTCTGATTTATAGTTTCAGCTGCTTGAAGCCATTCATTCATTCATTCATTCATTCATTCATTCATTCATTCATTCATTCATTCAATTTCTATCCTGCCTTATACTTTTTTCTTTGAAAGAACTCAAAGCAGCTTTGATCATTCTCTTCCTTCCTCTCTTCCTCTGCTTCTCCCCGCAACAACAACCTTGTGAGGTAGGCTGGGCTGAAAGCCTGTGACTGGCCCAAAGTTACACAGTGAGCTCCAAGGCTGAGTGGGGACTAGGACCCAGACTGCCTGAGTCCCAGCCCTGTGTTCTTGACTACTACATCACACTGGCTCTCAGGTTACTGTCTGACTGCAGAGCTGCGTGGCTGTGTTCTGTTGTTTTCATCTGTCTGCCCCAGGCTTTGAGCCCGAGTCCAGTGTGATTATTCCACCTGAGTCCACTTTTTGTTTTGACTAAATTTTTCTGGAGGGAACCTGGAACATTCCCCAGCCCCCATTCTGGGGAGGACTCCTTTGGTGACTACATACTGCAAGCCCCTGGGACAGAACCAGCCCTCCCGCCCCAAGGGCATCTGCACAGGAATTCCTGGCATCCTGCGTTTGGCCTCTCTTGACTGAGTCTTCTCACCATCACCCCACCCCAGGCCCAGTATTGCAGCGCCCTGGAAGAGGAAGAGGCAAGAGAGCTGAAGTTATTCTCGCAGCAACGGAAGAGGGAGAACCTTGGCCGTGGGACTGCCCGACTCTTCCCGGTCACCATAACTGGAGCCATTTGTGAGCAGGTACTTTGGCTCTCTCTCATTCTGTTTTTGGACAGTTCCAGTATATTTTGAGAAGAGAGGATTTTAGAATGGTTTGGAGGATGCAGAAATCAAGTTCTTATTAATGAACTAGAAGTTTGACAGAAGACTCATGTCCTTGCACCTAGTTTTCTGCTGAGCCATCTAAAAAGTGGTGACAAATTTTGGAGGGGAGACTAGCAGGTGAGGGAAAGGCTTTCGCCTCCTGACAATTCTGCCCTTCTCTCTCTCTCTCTCTATTTATTTATTTATTTAGCAGACTTATATGCCGCCCCATTCGCCAAAGCCTCGGGGCGGCTTACAAACATAAATAAATAAATACAATTAATACAATTATATTGCATCCATATATGCCCAGCCGCCCCTTGAGATCGGCGGGGGGAGGCCCTTCTCCGGGAACCCTCCATGAAAGAAATTAGGAGGGTGGGTACTCGGAGGAGGGCTTTCTCCGCGGTGGCGCCTAAGTTATGGAACGCGCTCCCCAGAGAGGTCCGCCTGGCGCCGTCGTTATTTGTTTTTCGGCGCCAGGCGAAGACCTTTTTATTCAAGCGTCATTTTAACTGTTAACATTATTGGTTTTATCTGGCCAGGGCGGCTTATTTTATACTGTACTGTTGTATTTTAATTTTATATTTATATTTTAATTTATATTATAATTATTTTAATTTATTAATGTGAGCCGCCCCGAGGCTTCGGCGAATGGGGCGGCATAAAAATGTTTTAATAAATAAATAAAAATAAATAAATTATAAAGTCGGAGACATCCTGGCCAAAATTGTTAAAAACCAATAAATGAAATTATTTATTCTGGATATTATTCTGGACATCTTTCCACAATGGAGGCACACAGACCTCTGGTTTCTGAGGCCGAGGGGAGAACATAAGAATTGAGGTTCTTAAATGATCAAGTATCTAGAGAGTCCTTGAATATTGGATTCTGTCCAGATCCTTGTTCCCATGATGTGCTTAAAAGGAAAGGTGGATTTGTGCTGCTTATCACTTTGGCATTTCAGCCCTATCATCGAATTGTCACAGACTTCACTTTTTACATTTTATGGCTCCCCCACCCCCATGTATGTGTGTGCACACAAACATGTATGTGCATATCTGTACAAACAGGCACATTGATTTAGCAAAAAATGACCATATGTTGTGTATTTGGAAACTGTATTTGAAAATAACCATATCAGAGGGACACTGGCTTGTTTGAATCTCCCTCCCTTACAAGGAAGGTTCTCTAGAAGGAGGAGGGTATATTCCCGCATGCTGCCCATATATTTGCAATGCTTATACTCCTGGGAGGATTCTCCCATTATGGGTAGTCTCTGGGTTATGAATGAGTTACATTCCTGAGAAAACGGAAATTCATCTTTAAGTCAGATTTGTATGTAAGTCAGATCACTTTCATCTGCTTTCCACATTTGAGGGGGTTAGGTGTGCAGGACCCTGTGAAAGTTGAAAACCTTGATTCTCTCTAGCCTCCCCCACCCCCGTCCAAACTTACTAGTGGCTCCTCTTTTCAGCAAGCAAATGCCAGAGAGAGTTCTCTCTCCGCATGGAGAAAGCAGGAAGGCATGCTTTGGAAACCTCCCTCTACCCCTTTGCTTCCTCCCTTAAAAAAGACAAAATAGCTGCAAGGTGCCTTCTCAACAGTAGCACTGGGAGCCCTGCTCTGACTGGAACAGAGATAAGCTATTTGTGATTTAAGCACAGCACATAACAGGCTACATCACTCAAGCAGGTCCCTGAGAAAGCCCTGCAGCAAGTTCTTTTTCACTGTATGAGCCTCCACTGTGATGTCTGGAAGGACCATATTTGAACACTGGGAATTGGAAATGAGTTACATCCTGTATGAAATTTGGGATTCTGGTCCCACAATGAGAGTGGAGCTTGGAAAGGAGTTGTACCAGGCATCAGTCAGCCTCTGGAGAGCTGCCCATGGCATCCTGAGCCTCAGCAATGCTGGACAGTCCCAGGCTGGCTCAGCCTTGCTCATCTGGCAGAGTGAAGAGCTAATGTCGCTGCACAAGCCAGGGCAGGATTGGATCTCGTTGCTCTTAATGGACCTGGACTGAACGTGTTGGTGGAGCAACAGTGGCATCTAGTGCCCACGTACAGTATAGCACCTTGGCTTCTTTTGGCTTCCATTTAGATGTCTCGCCACAAAAACCACAATGCCACACCCAAACCCCGTCCATCTGTTTTCTTCTTCTTTTATTTACTTATGTATATATTATTTATATGTTGATTTGCCAACTATGCTCATTACAAAGAACAGCGAGTTTTTTACAGCACACTCACCTTCTGCGTGGGGAAACCATCCTCTTTTTATGAGCAGTGCAAGTGGTTAGGCAGCTGGTATCAGGGCTTCTTGGAAAGAGAAGCCCACAGTTGGGGGGCCTGAGCATCATGGCCTCTAATTTCTTGGACAGAAAGCACCCAGAGCTAGGGCCTCCCTTGACGCCATTGGTTCTGGCTTGAACTGTGTGGAGAAGAAGCTATTGCTGCTCTTAAACTTGGCCTGCCTTAAGCACCCTAAGCAAAAATGCCAACAGGCGCTCGCCAATGCAGCCAGGCACATTGGCTCAGAAACACTAAGCGTGACCCACCACCTCATTAAAGAAGCCGGTAACAAAAACCTGCTTCCGTGGCACTGAACCAACCTAATATACTATCCCATGCAGTAGGAAACTTTCTTGCCTGGCTGCTGTGAGATCTGTACTCTAATTGCTATTTTTAGAAAGGCTCCCAATGAAAAGGGAAATGCATGTTCCCCATTGATGGAGATGGGGAATACTCAGCCTCCCAAGGATTCAGTAGTTTGAGATTCACAAGCAGCATTCTGTCTGAAAAACTGCAATACATACATAGCACCCCTCTTCCTACTTGGTGGATTCTCAGTTCTCCCTTATCTGTCTTTCCACACACACCGTGTTCCCAGTCTCAACCACAGTTTCACAGTGCTGGCAGCCCTTCCCTTCCCCACAAACCTCAAAGGACATGTGAGCCAGTTGCTCAGTGACATAATACTTGGCCTGTGCAGGCTCGTAACTTGCTCACGAATTCTTGGTGGTGAATGGCAGAGGGCCACAGCAGTAGTTTCTTCACTAATGGGGCATGAGCCAGGAGTGCTCCTTCCCCTTTGCCTCACTCAGGTAGAGGGGCATCACCTGCCCCCCACCTTCCCCCATAGACTTTGTAGTGTAGAAATAGTGATTCTGGTCTCACTTCAGAAGCTGCTATAAACTTTATTGAGGTGATACATTCGTAGTATCTTTGCAATGGATTCCAAGGACTCTCACCTTGTTCTTCTGCTGACAGTGTGGCAAGCAGATCTGCGGAGGGGATATTGCAGTCTTTGCCAGCCGGGCAGGGCACGGGGCCTGCTGGCACCCGCAGTGCTTTGTCTGCACCACCTGCAGGGAGCTCCTCATCGACCTCATCTACTTCTACCAGGATGGCAAAATCTACTGCGGGCGGCATCACGCTGAGCGCCTGAAACCACGCTGCGAGGCCTGCGATGAGGTGAAGCTTTGTGCTGGGCCTTCCACATGCAGCAGAGAGGGAGATTTGGGCTTGGTTTTTTCCGCATGCTGCAGTATCTTGCTTAGGATGAAAACATTTCCCTCAGGAGTCAGTTAGAAAGCAGTCTTTCCCAGGATGACTGGGGAATTTTCCAAGTGATGGTCCAACACATCTGGAGGGCACCATGTTGGGGAGGGCAGCTTTATAATACAGGTAACTCAAGTGTGTGTTAGCAAATACCTTTGTTTTGGAGTGCAGTTGTGCTTGGCTTTTAATCTAAAAAATAGACTCAGTTCGGGGGCCAGGATTCAGTGCTTTGAGCAGGTGGCCAGGGTCCAGCTTCATCTAATGCCCTGCAGACCAGATGGGCCACCCTAGTAAGTCAAATCACCAAGCAGTTCCCCAGTCTTTGCCTAAGGCTAGGCCTATGTGATCTTGGAAGGTGTCCCTTTTTATTCTCTGCCTTCCCTGTCAGATTTCCTGAACAGGATGCATATGGGCAACTCCAGCTGTCTGGGGTTTGGAATTATGCTTGAAGCCTTCCCAGGCTTCTCTGGTCTTTCTTACCCACCACTCTTGACTCAGAGACTCTGATGCACTCGACTCAGAAGACTTGTTGCACACAAGTGCCATGGCTTCTTTCCCTTCCCTGACCCCTGGAGAATTTGGCAGACTTGGCTAAGCCATTTGGGCTTTGTATCTTGCCCTTTCCGAAGTGTCAGAGTGAACTACATCACCCATGGTGCAAAAGCTGACCAATGGACTCCTGTCTCCAAAGTTCACCCAGCATTTGGCATCCAGTGAAATGATAGGAATGCTCTTAGGATTCATGCCTCTTTGGTGGCTTTGTTAGAGCCTCACTTTCTGCTGTGACTGTTTCAATGAGGAGCAGTGGAAAGAGGCATAGGTTTAAGGCACCCTTCCTTTCAGATGTTTTGAATTCCCATCAACCACAGCTGGCATGGCCAGTTGTGAGGAATGATGGGAGTTGTGGCCTAAAACATCTGGAGGGCAAGAGGCTGGAGACAGCTGTTATAGCCTCTTCTGTGCCTTACTTTGTGTGTTTTTTATGTGGGGTGATGTATGGCTGGGGAAGGTGGGGAAGTGAGAGAATCTCTCCTGTGAAATAATGGACTGCAGTCCTAGGGTTGGATCCCAGTTCTGCCTTTGACAGGAGGAAGGGCTCCTCCTGAAACTGGGGGATCCTAATCATCCCACAGTTCATGCTCTTCAGGATGTTCCTTGTGCAGTGTTTTCTGCAGTCTGGAGGAGCTCCCTTGAGAAGGAGCAAGTGGAAAAGTCCATTCCTGCAAGCCCCATCGATGCTGCTCAAATCTGGATCCAACCCATCTCTCTTGGCTTGCTTCCCTTCCGCCCAACAGGTGTTTCTTTTTTTCCCTGCCAGATTATCTTTGCAGATGAGTGCACAGAAGCCGAGGGCCGCCACTGGCACATGCGCCATTTCTGCTGCTTTGAGTGCGAGGAGGCGCTAGGTGGGCAACGGTACATCATGCGCCAGAGCCGCCCGTACTGCTGCCACTGCTATGAGAGCTTCTACGCAGAGTACTGTGATGCCTGTGGGGAGCACATTGGTATGCAAACACTCTGGCCGAGGGACAGGAGGAACAGCACTAACCAACCAACCACTTTGGGGCAAGGATGGTTGGATGGGAGAAAGCTTCTGGAGCCTTCCAGGGGCCCAGATTCTAATCCTGAGGCAGGTTAGCCTGGGCATAGCTAATCCTGTAGCAGTGGGAAAGCCAAGGAGATGTGGACTTGATCAGGGCTTCACTGGAAAATGTGCATAAGCTGTTCTGAGGTTCAGACTCCCCCTTGCATTAAATGCATGCCAAGAGCAGTTTTGGAATGGCTGATTTTTCTGAAGTTGACAGCACTCAGGAAGTCAGAGTGCTAAGTGATACCACAGTCACCTTCTTGCTCATTGCTGGACTAATTCTGATTTCAACTGCCTTTGCCTGCTTCTTAACAAATTTAAGATAGAAAGAAATGCAACCACATACTGTGTATTTTCATCCCTTTCTAAAGGAAGGGTGGGATAAGTCGGACTGTTGTATGGTGCATGAGCTGCAGGTAACACCCCATTTTCAGAAAAGAAAGCACTTCAATAGAGAATGATTCCTTGCATTTAAAAAATCAATGGGTCATTCAGACGTACCACTAAGCTGTGGCTTATATTAACCAGATTTTGTTGTTTTAGTCACAAATGGTCTTGCAAACAAGCAAGCAAACTGTGATTTGTTCTCTGTGTTTCTGGTTGGTTTTTCTCTGGCCCATTTTGCCTGCTATTAGAATGTTTTTTTTCTGCTGGGCACCTCCATTTCAGAGTGGAAGGCAATGTAAAGAAGCCAAAAATAAGGCATGGTTCTGAGTTCAGACATCACAATAGGGTATGGTTTAAACAAGGCAGATTTCAAAAGCAAAAAACAAACCATAGCTTTTCTTATGTGGTTTGTGTCTGTTTTTGGAGATATGTATGAATCCAGTAAATATTTGTGCCTGGTGAGCAGCCACAGAAAATTTGCATCCCTTCAAGCATTCAGAGGTTTCCTCCCGTATGCCAGCAGGTTCTGCTACTAGTTGCGGGGGCTGCTTTCCTGGTGGCTGCTCAGTAACCAAGCACCGTGTGACTAGCCTTCTTTGGCATGAGGAGTGACTGCCATTTGAGCTGCTGATGCACGAACAGGGCTGCTTGCAGGGATCCAGCAATATTCCAAGCCCAGACAGATCCTCACATATCCCTACTGCACTCTTCCAGACAAGCAAAAGCATCATTCCCAGGGACATGTGTGCAGCAGATCTCCTGCGTCGCCAGTGGGGTTGGAATACATGACCTTTGGAGGTTCCTTGCAACTCAGTGGCTGGTAGAATGAAGCACTTTACACTGGCCTTGTCCCTTCCCTGCAGGCATTGACCAGGGCCAGATGACCTATGAGGGCCAGCACTGGCATGCAAATGATGCCTGTTTCAGCTGCTCCCGCTGCCACCAGCCTCTGCTAGGGAAGCCTTTCCTGCCCAAGCAGGGCCAGATCTTCTGTTCGCGAGCCTGCAGCTTGGGCGAAGACCCCAATGGCTCTGACTCCTGTGACTCGGCCTTCCAGAGTGCCCGTTCCCAGGACTCCCGGCGAGCCAGCTGGCAGCAGCGGCGGATCCAGGCCCAGCGCTCCCCCACCTCTCCCGTTGCACGCTCGGTCTCCTTTGGGGGACAGCCAGCACCTCCAAGCTCAGCTCCAAGGATCCGCAGGAGTTGGAGCGGACTGCCTGCAGCTGGGGAGGAAATACCCGCAGAAGCAGAGGAGCTCTCTGATCCAGAGAGCAATGGATCAGGCTGCAGCCAGAGTTGTGAGGAGCCCGTGAAATGCACCTCCCGGGGAACTTCCACTTGCCAACCACCCCCCACCGGCCAGGTTCCAGAAACAGGTGAGGGGGGACCAAGGAGAGCATGGCCATTGCACATGTGTGCAGCCAGATTTAAATTTCTGCCTTTGGGGTTTGGGCCTTTCCCTTTCCTCTCTCTAATCACCTGCTTCATTCCCCAGGGACAGAGATCCGGCCACGTTTCCAGCGTGCATCCCCTCTGCGCCATTCCATGCCCGAGTTGGGTCTGCCACCTTCTAAAATCCTTGACTGGAGTAGCAATTCCGCTTCCAAGCTGCCAGCATGTGCCCAGCCACAGCTCAGTGAGGGAACTGAGCTGGGGGAAGGGAGTTTTGCCCATGGAGGGGTTCCCCGGGTCAGTTTCCGGGAACCCCTAATCTCAGGGGAGCCAAGCACCCTTTGTCCCAAGCAGGCCTCCCTGAACACACACAAGCTGCTTCAAAATGGGGGACCCAGCCGGGGGCACCCCCACTCCACCTCTGACAACTCACTCAACTTGGGAAGCCAGAACTGGAGGCCAAGAAAAAGTGTAGGGGAGAAGAGAGGGGCAAACCTCTCCTATTCCGCATCTGAGGGTACCTTTCCTGCTTGGCACCGATGCTACCCTCCCCGAGGATGGGACTTCAGCTCCTCCGATTCCTCCGACTCCTCCTCAGAGGAGGAAGGATACTTTCTGGGGGAGCCCATACCCCTGCCTCCCCACCTACGAGGTGGAGCGAGCCCCACAGAGACCACATCTACTGACCCAACACGTAAACAGCAGCGCCGAAGACTGCGGGTCATCAGGGACAAGAACTGTGTTGTGGCGTAAGCCTGGCCTTCCCCTTAATGGCCTTTGGCTGCAAGGATCCCATTTGGCTCATTGAAACCGTTCAGCGTTGACCGTTGTGTGTGCAGGCCCTTGCAATTTGGTCCGGGAGCGTTGCCTGTGGCTTCTTCCACAAGGACCTCTTTGATTCGTGCCCTTTACGAGGGGATCCTCCCCCTCAGAAAGTGACCTCTTCATCATGACTGTCAAGCTCTCCCAGCCTTTCCTCAGGGACACACGAGCACTGGCTTCTCCGTGGCGCCCTTTGATCTTTTGATGTGCCCCTTCTGTGAAGAATCTTGAACTCCTCTCTGTGGTGGTCTTTGTGTTTATTTTCCACGGTGGCCTTTTTTGACCTCTCGACTGTGACCTTTTGGATACTGATCAGCCTTTTGTCCTGAACCTTCAGAGTGATGGTCTGTGAGCCCTCTGCACTTGCGCACCCCCTGCACGTCGCACGGCCTCTCCTTCCCCAGGACCCCTCGAACTTCAGTTTTGACCTTTCCACTGTGACCTCTGATCTCCTGGGTGACTCTTCCTCCTGCACATTGCCATTATTAACGTCTGCCTATCACAAGGTTGCAGAGTTTCAAGCTTTTGGGCGCTTCTTCTCTATGCACAAGGTGTCTGGCTTTGTGTGTGTCTTGTTGTGTGAGTGTGGGCGGGTTGAATGCCATTTCCCAGCCGATACACTGAATATGGGCACGAGGTGTCCGTTCTGGGGCAGAGCCTGTAAGCATCCTTTGATCCAGCTAGCACTACTGTTCTCTTCCCCACTGAATATTGTGCACATATCTCAAGATTTGTAATTTTTTAAATTTTGTTTTTTTTTTCTTATCAAGGGTCTTAATTTAAGTGACATTTAAATAAAACTTTATAAAATGTGTTTGTGCTGTAGTGGATCATTTTGTGTGTATTGCTGGGCTTTAACGAGTGGAAGGGTGTTTTGAGGACAGGTTTGGGGATTTTGTGCTGCTGTTTCTGCAGTGGGAGCATAAATGCAAAGGGCATTGGCTCCCAGTACTTTATGGCAAACAAATTCTACCGGAATAATGTGTTATTCTATGCCGTCTAGCGAGAATGGTTTTTTAAGTAACATAGCAACTTTGGTGTCATTTATATCCTGTTTTGGCTCATATAAGGCTTGAAAGTAAAACTGTTAACCCTTTTCATTAACAAGCTACTGGAAGCCAGCCCAAACTACTTTTTTAAAATTATGACAAGCTAGAAAGCATGCTTTTTTGGTTTCCATCCAACCCTTTTACTAAGTACCCTACTATACTAAGGGACTTCCTTTTCTCTTCCATGGGAAAATAGTTTGTTTGAGGGTTGCCCATACATTTTGGAGTTTGCCTTTGGATACGTAAGAGCTGGAATCTAAAAAAACAATGAAAGTGGCAGTTCTTGATATGTTCGATGTTCACTTGGCACTTTGACAGCTACAGAATACACACAGTTCTGACTGCCTTGCAGCACTAAAAGGAGCACTGAAGCTTTCTTCTAATGGTCCAGTTGTAGTACCATATAATGACTGAGTGAAATCTTGTGCCTGATCAAATACTTAGTGAAGACTTTGTGGACATAGCCCTTGCTTGTGCGAGTTGGCCATCAAAATACCTACCTTCATGGGCAAGAAGGGAAAAAACACAGTACTGCATATTGAACTCATTCATGTAAGTAGGATTAAGTCGGATACAAAGTCAGGCTTGTCCTCCAGAGAGAATTTATTCCTTTCTAAAGCCAGCCCCGTATTAGTAATTTAGTGGTTATACTTTATACAGGTGCACAAACACACCATCAATGACTTCCCACAGTGACTACTGGCGTAGTTCTAGCCAGCCTTATATAATATTTAAGTAGCTAGACCAAAGTGCCCAGCCAAATTAGTGTTATTTTGGCATTTTCTTGCATTTTAAAAATCATCTAAGCGGTTTTATTATTTTACTGAAATGTGTGTTTATTGTTTTATTCTAATTTATTCATTTTATTTGTACCCAACCTTTCCACCAAGAATCTCATTTGTGCCATGTCCTCCCTCCAAGGAACTACAGGTCACCTATGCAGGGAAGTTTATCCTAGTTTTCATAGTGACCAATAAGGGTATTAGGTCTAGCCCTCTGCTCAGTGCAGGATTTCAAGTTAAAGCATTTTATCATCCAATGAACAATGTAAGCTGGTAGGCTAGGAGGAACTGAGATGAGGATTATCCCACTGAACAAGTTTCATGGTTGAGCTCAAGTCCACACCTCTGTCCACCACTCGTCTATAAGCTGCCCTGGTTTTGTTTGATTTGATAAAACATCTGAAAACACACCAGAGAAGCAACTGGGAACAGGACAGTGCAAAACATTTGGGTAGTGGTGGTCCATCTTATAAGTGTGTGAGTTTACTGAACATTTGTTATGAAAAATGTAATAAATCCCAAATTTATACCCACTTCTGTACAGCACAAGAGACACAGCACATTGAGTTCTTAACCCTCAGCCCCTCATTGCCCTGACCCTCCTAGCAAGTGCCTTCGGTTCCTTCCCATGCCAGCTGTTAGTATGGAGCACCAAGGACAGGAACAGCCTACCCTGATCAGAACTTTGCAGTAGTATAACAGCCAAGCAACTAACTCGTATGATGCCTTCGGGGTAATGACAGTGCACCAAGCTCCAATGTTATTCACAAAATATGCCATCTCTAGCAAATCAAAATCTCTAGAAAGTGCCTGAGACAGTAATACATTTTTTAATGAAGAGAACTACATGCAAAATAGGTAAAGGAAAGAAAAAAAGAGTTAAATGTGGCAACGTCTGCAAAGAATGTTTCCTACAGATTGGAAATCTCCTTGTATGATTTTAAAGGTATCTCTTCCATGAAGACTAGAAACATGCTTTAAAACACAATTTCCTTTTAAGAAAAAAAGTCTCTTGGACATCTAAAACTTATGTGTACTCAAAACTGCATGCATCAAACTGCAGAAAATGTTTATGAATGAGATCAAATAGTAAGCAGCATTAGTACCAATTTAGCTAAGTTTTTATTAGCATTTTAAGTTGTATTTTTTTCCTCAATAAGCACAAAACAGGTTCAATCTACCTAAGGGACCACAAATGGGGAATACAGAAACAGCAAGAAAGAACTGGGCAGGGTGGCACTTTGAAAAAGAAAATAGTCTCGTCTGCCTTCCCTATTCCATGCAGGTGGAAGAAACATTTCAAGCATACATTCTCAAGCTTATTCCCCTAGAAGAAGGGTTCCTTATTCTATGGCCACACATACAGGTATATATCTCACTGAATCCCTTAGCCAATAAAGGTCTGAAATATACCAAAATAAAATCCTGAAGTTTGCACCAAAAGCCCCCAAGTTCTCTGCTAATGAAAGCATGAATTTTGCAACCTGTAATAAGTTTATAAATTTGTACATACATTATTTTCCATATAATTCTGAAAGAGTTTGTTTATATAACTTATCTATAAAGCAGGAAGGGGTAATAAACAAGGCAAAGGAGTCCCCCTGCTCTGAGCCCTGGAAATACACTTTAGAAACCTTCCTGATTGCTGGCAAGATTCCATACAGATGGTTACAACCATCTTTCTGCTTGTATAGAATCACAGCACACATGCACTCAAACAAGTCTGACCATCAACAGATGCCTCCTTGAAAACTGCTGGCTCCTAAAAGCAGAGGGGCGAACTGTAAATACATTGTTCCCTAATTAAAAGTGGGGTGGGGGGTTAATAGTGTATCGGACAGAAAAAAGCTACAGAGACAGGACAGGGGCTTAAAGTGTTAGGCTCTTTTTTAATTGTCAAATTGCACATACTTGGCATTCAAAGTGGCTTAATAAAAATATCAAAACACATCCTTGACAAGGTTTGGAATTAGGACTATTTTCTTCAAAAGTTATTAAAAACATGTTAAAAATCTATGCACTCATTAATTCCTTCAAAACACTGACATCTAGAGATGTCAGAGTAAGATAGGACTATACGTAAACTAGATAGAAGCACCCAGGCTTTGGTCCTCCTCTCCCTGTTTTAAATCCAAGGACACTGGCACAGAAAAGGAAAGGCACTTAATGGGTCTGTAGAGGTGTCTTACATTTCACTCCTTGGGCCCACTTTGTCTAAAACAGTGCTTTTTTTGTAAGAAGAAAGGTGCCGGAACTCATGAAATTATTTACCTTTCGCACGTAGTCAACCACTGTGCACACACCCACACACGTCAGTTGTGTAATGAAACATAACAGTTGCTGCCTGCAGTAAGCTCTCAGCGCACGACCACACGACCAATCACAAGCCGAGCAGCACCATCACAACCAGCACGGATGAAGTACGCATGCATCGGATTCGACACACAAGCAGCCCACATGCACCGTTTTAATGATTTTGCTGCCAACTTGCTATGCTCAACAGGGCGATTCAAATCCACGTGGACCAAACATCAGCTTTTCAAAAGTTACTTTTAAAACTTGGAAAATCTGTTGAAAAAAGGTGCCAGAACTCCGTTTCAGTGAGTTCTACGACAAAAAAACCACTGCTCTAACAGCAGAGACAGAATCTAGACATCCTATTTTCTCATTTCCATCTTATCAAACTCTAAGGTGATTTATTCCCTAAATGAAACAAGTTTCCCAAATACACAAACCTATATATCTGTAAACCCATTTGTTGAAATCCATGCTTCTTTCCATAAGGTGCCTGAAGCTGCTTTCCTTCCCACTGTTAAGAGAGAGTCAGAAATTGGTGGCGATTAGGGGAGAAGAATAATCGGAAGGTTGGCGACCCAAACCGAGGCATCCAAGGCAGAGAGAGAGAGATTGAAGTTGCATGACTGATCGGCTGAGGCAGCTTCTCATAGAGGAGGCTAGAAAAGAGGAGTCCAGTGTGGTGGTGCTTTGTCCCAGCGTGGAATAGAGACGGCATCCTCAGATTCCATCTGCAGGTCCTGCAAAGAGCAGAGATGCCACAGGAAGCATGAACAATGTTGATGCTTTGTTATTTATTTCTTCCCCTCCAATAACTGAAGATCTCTGAGCAACCATTCATTCAATACAATACACACAGAGAAATCCAAACAGCATAACATGTTAATACAAGATTTCAGATGTTCCCACTGACTAAAGGTTCTGAAAAGCAGCCTTGTACAACCTGGTGCCTACTGATGTCTGGACTATAATTCACATCATCCCCACCCAGCATGGTTCTCTGGAGGGCATCAGGCTAGGAAAAGCGCCACAGGGAATTTATGCAACTCAAAACTGGATTGCATAACAAACCTGAGTGCACCTTTTCCCATGTGGTGTCTGGAGATATTTTGGACTGCAATTTCCATCTGCAGCTCACCACTGGCCATGCTAACTCAGGTTGATAGGAGTTGTAGTCCAAAACATCTGGAGTGTACCAGATTGGGGAAACCTGCATCCTACCTTGTCAGCACATTTTTCTATTCTCATAGCCTCTTCTGTCCCAGATACCAGAAGGGGTTTTCCTTGGCTGCTGACCACTGGTACTCATTGCTTTTGGCCCGTGGAATTATTTGGAATGTTGTGTCCTCTAACAAAATGGCTTCCACAGGGCTGCTTTCCCATTCTCTAAATGGCTGCCACGGTGGGTATGGTGGGGGAACAAAAGACTAAAAGCAAAGCAAGTTTCCCAAGAACTGAAATAGGAGGCAGAGGTGGGGTCTGAGTCAGAAAACACAAAGCCACTCTTTTGAACCTAAATAAAGGTAACAGTGGAAGGCAGCATTTTACTTTGCAGTGCCACAGGGGTTTTTTAATGCATAATTTAAAAAAAACCTTAAGAAATAATTGAAAAGTTAAGAGGGGCATGCAGCCTGGCAAATGGCAAGGGCAAGGCATCTTGTTGGAAATCCCACCTTGGTACTTCCCACCCAATCCACCTGCGTGTCCTCCTTCCTTAGAGCTGGCACACTCTGCCACATGGCTTTGTTTCCCACCCTCCACCTCCAGGCTGGAAGTGGAGAATGAGTGGAGACCATGGAAGCAGAGTAGGCATCTCCACATGGCAACTTAACAGACTGCTATGCTGTCCAGCAATGCCCTTCCCCCTGGCCACAATCTTGCTACAATGCCCACTCACACAGCAGATTTTTCTGGAAAATTACTTTCTCATGGTAACTAAAACCTTCCTGTTTGCAAGTTCACAGCCCGTCAGAAAACCTCCTGTTGGTCTCAGCAAGGTAAAAAGCACTCAGGAATAGCATCTTGTTTATTCCTTGGAACAGCGTGTTAGAAGTGTCCCCGCACCAGTTTCTTTAGTTGGGGCTGGGGATGGGCATGCTGTTACCGTAACATTTTTCATTTTGGGGAAGAAAACAAATTAGCACTGTTTATGGCACTGTTTCACCATTAAAATTTAAAGATGCTTTCAGACAGGGCAATTCTAGCACTGTCAATTAAAAGACACACACAGCTATTTCATCTTTTTTTCTGCTTGATAGATTTTGTGGCAGAAAGAAACAAGTGGTGGGAAAGATGGGAACTGTGATAGATGGAAAACAAACATGTCTGAACCTCTTGTAAAATGCTATGAGGCAGAGCTGTTCCATGGAATAGGACCCACCTGGAAGGAAGCAACCAAAACTGGAGAAGGCTTCTGTAACCAAGAAAGCAATTCCCATGGTGCCTGCAGAGCGTCTGCGGGACCACAGGGTAGCTCAGGTGCACAGATCCAAAGCCCAACCCAGCTTGAAAAGGACCACTCCACCTACCTGTCCAAGGTCAGGAGGGCAACCCTGGAGAGGGTAAAAAGGGGGTGTTCGGATCGGTGGGGAGGGAGGAGAGCAGAGAGGCCAGAATATGAGGCAACCTGGCACTTCCCCAGCCTGTTTTTCTCCCTGTCCAAAGTGCTCCAGCTAGACTGCGGAAAACAGATGGGAGTGGAGAAGTGAAAACTGGCTCCACTGCTCCCACCACTCTGGACTGGATGACTGCCGGTCTCTGAGCTGAAACTTCCTGCTCCATCTTACCTCATTCAAAGAGAAATGGATAATGGGGCGATTTCTTCAAGGGTCTACGAGTAATTAGGCTGTGGAATTTGACAGAAGAAATGTTTACATGTAAAGGGGCCAAAACGGGTACTGTATTTTCCCATGGAAATCGGGCCTGTGGGAGTGAGGGAGGGCGCTTCCAGGCAGAGGGCCCCACAACTTCCAGCCAAGAGAGCATCATTCTTCTGCTGCAAGCGACAATTGGAGCAGCAGGCTTCCTGTACAAAATCAGGCGATTCTGTGCAATGCTTTGCTTGCACTGAAGGGTTCTTTGCTATTCTTTTGGTATTTTCTAAAAGTAGATGGCTGGAAAGGTGTTTTGGTGCTGGCTTAAAAATAAGTGAATGGATGAGAAAAGTGGCATCCACTGCCTAGGCCCATAGGACAAAAAAAGCACACATGTCTTCATATGCTAATTGATATATGCACACATGTTTGCATAATTAGAAAGAAGTCCTGCCAATTATATTTTAGAGGGTCAAGCTAAATAACCACTTGCTTACTTTCAAGACAGAACTGTGCAATATCCAAGTTGTGTTTGCATAATCCTTGCCCTGTATGGACCCACACTCTTCCTTGTTCTTTCAGGCCCAAATCCAGATGGGAGCAGCAAACCTTACATGTTTGCAAAGCGAGCATGGCAGGGGACTGTGTGGGAATATAGTAATCTCTGCCCTGGGGCTGCAACCTTATGCAGGAATAAGCTCTGTGACCAAAGTGGAATTTACTCCTGTGTAAATTCTCACTCATCACCAAGAAAGACATCAAAACTGGAAAGTTACTTGGGGGATGCACCTTTGCTACTCCTGGTTCCTGGACCAGCTGAGGAAGTAGAAAAAGCTGAGGTGCCTCAATTTAGTACAAATACTTTATTCTGATAGTTTCTGGGATCCTAGAACACATTTCTTTACAGTTCTTAGAGTCTACTGAAATCCTAAAACCTACACCAACTGTTGCAGTATTAAATTTCTACCAAGATATAGTAGTTAATTGCTGAATGTAAGTCACTCTCTTATATGCTGAACAGCTTTCATAGCATTCCCTCCTTTTGCCTGCTTGCTACGTTTTTTTAACTTATTGTGCCTTTCACAGCAGAAGAGTCAAGAATTCAACAGGCAAGCAAGACTGCTCCTTCTGCCATCCCCAAGCCAACTCGAGCCGAGATAGAGCTGTACCAGAAAAAATGTGCAAGTCCAACTGAGATCTTAATGAATTCTGTGCAGATACATGTAGGGGCTGCACTGGAAGCATGTCATTCTGTATACAATAACCTGAGAGCAAGAAAGTCCTCCTGGACTTCAGTGGAACTTCTGAGTAGACATGACTAGGATTGCACTGCAAACCTGGTAATTAAAAACAGGTTCCAGAGCAGAGCTCTAGCTTAGATTTAGGCTACAAGACGATGCACACTTTCTTCAGGGTTAGCCTTGCTGCAATTAGCAACATGCTTGCTGGGAATTTATTAATTCTGAGATTGTGTATTTCTATTCCACCCTTTTCCTAAGGAAGCCAGGGCAAAATGAGCCGCCCCGAGGCTTTGTTGCGATGGGGGCGGCATAAAAATGTTTTAAATAAATAAATAAATTGCAGATCCCATATTCTGGGGGTGGCCAGACTTGCTCAATGGAAGAACCACTTATGGTAAATGTCAGATGTTTGAGAGCTGCAAGTAGGTGCCCACGGGCAGCAGCAAGCAGTGGGCGGCAAGAGTGTGCCCGTGGGCAGCAAGCCGCAAAATAAACTCAAAGAGCTGCATGTGGCTCACAAGCCTGAGTTTGGCCACCCCTGCCATATTACCATGGTGTCTCTGCCTCCTACCCCATGGTGTTAGGGCCACAGACTCCACTCTGAGCTTTCTCTTTATGTTACACACAACCCTCTCCAAGGGTGGGGTGGGCTGAACTTGTGGCATTTAAATAAATCCCTAAAGAGGCAAACCTCCAACCTTCCTCTGTTGTACAGCAGCTAAATCTGACTTGCGTGCGCAACAGTAGCCGAACTTGCAGCAGGTAAACATGTCTGCCTGCCCCTTCTCCTCAGCAAGCCAGACCAGGCCTTCCTTCCCTGCTTTACTGCCACAGGCGGCTCCGTAGCCAGGAGCGTGTGGACCAGAGGGCCCACAGCTCCCACGCCACGGGCTCAAAATCATCCTGGGCATTCTCCCTCCTGCTGCATCTGCCCATGCTAAATTTGTGCTGAGCTCTCGTGGCTTTACCTGCCCCACTGGCCACTCCCCACATCCAACCCACACCTCTGAGGAACAGTAAATTCTCATCGGGAAGCTGCCCAAATACACACACACACACCTGCGTGCACACACACAGAAATGCATGCAGGCTAGTAGATGCTCCATAAGTGAATGTATGGCAAAAGGGGGGCAATTTTAGAGAAAGAGGGTCGTACGGAAGCCCGTTTCCCTGTCTCCATCCCAGGAGCAAACAGGCTTTCCTGTCCTTTAGGCATCATGGGAGGTTTGCAGCCAGACTGACCTCTCCCTTTTCCTCACAGAAACTATACTGCTGACTTGTACCCTAAGCAGCCACCTCCAGTTTTAAGATGTCAGTCGAATGGACAGCAAGTCAGCAGAGGAGGGGTCACTGGGACAATGCCAACCATTCGCCTCAAGGCAAATTCTCCCTTGCAGGCACTAGCTAGGATCCCTCCTGTATCTTTTTCCTCAGCCCATTCCTTTTTTCTTGCATGCCTTGTCTTTTTAGATTGTAAGCCTGTAGGAAGGCACTATCTTCTTTTAGTGATTATTTACTGTTCCAAAAGGCTTTTTTGACAGAGGAGTGGGATAAAATACTCTAAGTAAGTGTATACATACATACGTAGTTTTCAGGAAATATTGTGCAAATATTTGCACTATGCACCTGGCCAGCTGCTCCCAGACGATATTAAGGAAAGAAGAAAAGTGTGAAAGGGTGCTAGGAGCAATGGGCAGCAACCCGGCCAGGCCCCAGCATGCCCATAAGTACTGCTTCATACTCATTTCCCACCCATCACCCGGGGGGGGGGGGGGGGGGGGGAGTCATCTGGCATCTCCTGCCCAGGGCAATTCATGTCTACTTGGATGCACGTTCCCAGGCAAAGGAGCATTCCGCTGCAGCCTCCATCGCAACAGTCCATCCCTCAGAGAGGAAAAAAGAGGAAAAATCATTGCAGTGGAATTACCTTCTGGTAAGAGAAATGAGAATGCAGCTGAAATTAAGAAGAGCAAACTCCTTACATCGAAAGGCAGCAGGAACCCTACGTTCTGCATCTAGCCACACACGCCCTCTTCTGCCTTCACGGACTGCCTTACGCAGCAGCAAGGGGAAAAGATCGGAAGAAGGCAGACACTGCAACTGTAAAGAGAGTCAAATGGGACTCTCACATGCAGCTGGCCAGTCGCCTCCCCCTCAGTTCTCTCTTTACAGCCAGCAAAACAAGATCATTAGAAAACACTGCATCCAACAAACTAGTTAAAAGCACTGATTCATATTGCCCAGTTTCTTTCAATGCCACAAAAAGCCTGAAATTATAACAGATTTTAACTTCCAAACAGGAGTGATTGTAAGTGTACTGCATTGCAATACACTTTACAGGGACCAAGGATTTTCTTACCTCTCAGTAGATGAGCACAGGATTGTATCATAAAAATAGTAACAGCAAAAGAAAGTGAAAAAAACAAATGGCTTATCAATAACATTTTGAAGATGCTTGAATCTGAGATGAGCCGAGGTGGTGTTTGTGTCTGGCCACGGCCCAGCAAGAAGGCCTGCAGAAGCACTCTCGAAAACTGCAACTGCGACCTCATTGCTTGTCACTGGTTCTGCTCTTTCTGCTAAGCCTGAGAGGAAAAGGGCCTGTTCCTCCAGAACGGGATGTTCGGTCCAGCAAAATCATGTGGCAATAACCACCACCACCACAACACAGCATGGAGACAGCATGGATGTGGCACAGAGGTGTGCCTTGCCAAAGGGAGGCCAGAGGAGCAATGGCAAAGAAAAGCATGTGGCTACAACAACAGAATAGCTTCACACCAAAGTGGACTCTGCGATCAGCAGAGATATTTCTTACTTCCACAACAAAGAACTGGCTGGTGGGCAAGTTTGGGGCCAGGTAAAGAAGCAGCCACTACAAGGCTTCCCCCCTTCCCCCCTAAACAGTCATGGGGGTTTGGTTCACCTATAGAAGCTTAATGGATTTGAGAGACTGCATAAAACAGCTCCCAGCAGGTGTGTTTTTCATGGTCTCCTTCTCCTCAGGCAATTTGTCTGCACACATTAGGTACACAGGGGAACGCAGCTCACCTTGGCTCAGCTCTGCTGTTCTAGGGGACTGAGATCCTGGTCCCGCCCCTTGCATTGCAGCTGGGGTGATTCTGCAAGCATCTGATTAGCTGGGGGCGATTCCCCTCCACACCAGCAGAACATTCAACCTTCTCTGCTACTCCACCAGAGGGCACTCTTGAGTAACCCAGGCTTTTGGCCAGCCTAAGATGCAGCCCAGCTTGACCCCTCCGGAAAAACCCTCCTCTTCCTCTCCAGGGATTTGCATGGGGTAGGGGGCGGGGAGGGAATTGCTGCTGGAAAAATGTTCCCAGTGTGCTCCACTTATTGCACATGCCCAGTTAAAGCAAAGCAAGCAGTGCAGCTCAGCGGCAGCCATGTCCCTTACACTGTATGCCTTGGGGTGGGGAAACAAGGTCTGGGAAGCAGGTGGGCAGGGCAAGTTAGGTGGGGCACTGCCCCCTGTCTACATTAAGCCACCCTGTGCAATCCAGGTGTTTGGGACCAAATCTCCAGCAGTCCTGCCTGCTGCTCTTGCCAGCTGGATCTGATGCAATTTGAAGTTTAAAACATTTGGAGAGCCCCAGGTGAGAGAAGACTGACCTACAGCACATATATCAGCTCAGAGGAGGGGCAAAGTTTGCAGGTAAGAAGAAACAGTGTTCAGTCCATCCTTCATATGGAAGCAGGCAAGTCAAACTCTACATTCTTTTTTAAAACAAATGTGCAGCGAGGTTTCTTCCTACCCAGCTCACCGCTGGTGCAGGCATTCAGACCAAATCACACACCCAATACCTTTCATGAGGGAAGACCTACCAGTGGGAGCAGCTGTATGCGACTTCCTGAGGTTTGGTACAATGGTGTAGGCATCATAGCCAAAGAGGATTCCCGTCAGGATTCCAAACACCTGTTGAAAAGCCATGTAAACCCAATTTAGCTACCTCTGCTTTTTATAAGATGTCCTCTGCAAAAGCAGCCTGAGCTTTTCAGCACAAGGCAGTATATACTTTTGGTTTCTTCACAGAATTGAGATCAGAGCCTTTCCTCTCCTGCCTTTCTGCTGCATCACCTCTATGCATAAGCAAAAAAACATTTTTTCTTTCACAAATAATACATTTTCCCTGCTCTAAATAAACTCACCAAAAGTACTGTTTAACAACAAGCAAGACTGGAGGGTTGTCTGCTGAGTCGAGAATTATGAGTGTGCAATAAATGCCTTATGTAGAAAAACTCTCAAGCAGTGAGTAGTGGTCAAACAACCCCACCAATTCCTTTGCAGGAGCCCTCAAACCCTGCTGCACCCCATATCGGATTCATCTCTTTGTTGTCCCATTGATTTAAAGTGGGAAAATTTCAAGCACATGTTCAACTCTCCCATGGAAAAACCAACTAGACTTCAAAACACGGGATTGCACCCACGGTTCCAGATGTTTGTTTTGTAAGAATGGGGAGTTGTTCATAGGTTACTGCTATGGAACTGCAGCCAGCAGAAACAAAAATCTCACTACACCCTGAAATGTTTACTTCAATTGGGGGTGAGAGGAGGGCAAAGGGTCCCTAATCTTACCCCAAGGGGGTATTAATAGAAATAACTCAGAGCAGCGGTGGAGTTTGAAACTGGGCAGGGTGTGTGCACAGACACAATTGTGTGCGCAATGTTATCTCCAGACCACATAAATAAGTCATAAATAAATTAAGTCATAAAGAGGGCCCCTCTTGCTGCAAACAGTGCAGCTCAGCACTCTTCTGGAGAAATCACACACTGGGGGCAGAGAATCGCTCTCACCAGCCTGCCTGGGCACCTAAAAAAATGCCATTGATGCCCAAGAGGTTCCATTCCCCTACAGATCTCTGTGCAGGGCCTGCCCCATGAATGTGGGGGTGCAATCCAGGTCCCACCAAGGGCCAGGTGCTGCCAAGCTACAAGGAAGCAGAGCTGCTGATGGCTCGTGACCAGCAGTGCCTGTCTCCCTGGAGGAGATATACTTCACCCGTGGAAAGGAAAAGCCCTGCTCGACCGCTTTCATGCACGGGATGGTTTCCTAATGATGAAGGGAAGACTATGCTGGGAAAAAACGGGTCATCTCAAGAGAGTACTGAAGAATAACCATCGTTTGCTCTCTGAGAAGCCTATCCTCAGCTGTTGAGTGTAGATCACGGACTGCGGCATGTTAGCCAAACTGCACAAATTGCACAGTGGTCCCAGCATCCAGCCCAGACGGATGCAGAGCCTGATGTGACCAGGAACATGCAGCCAGGACCAGGCTCTCACTACCTCAATTTGCATGATGGGTGCAGAGCCTTGGGCTTGGGGGCCCAATCCAACCATCTGGCCTTTCCTCCCACTGGCCTCACCTCTGTTCCTCTGGCCACTGTCAGCTGGTGGTTTCCTGGGTGATGTGCTTCTCAAAGGCTGAAATGCCTCTCCTAAGGCTATGAGATTTAAGCCAGACTATGCTTTCATTTGGAGGAATTTCCAGCCTGCCTCCTTTTATTACCAAAATACAGAACCAAGAACTTCTCCAAAATGGATTTTAGCCTTTGGGCCAAAAGGAGTTTTGGGCCCTTGACTTAACACTGCTCTGCACAGGGCCTTCCGGGCATGGCTTGTGTTGGGAAAATTTGGATAAATCCTGTCTGAAAAGCATTACTTCTGTGTGCCTTGCATTGTGGGATCAAATCCTGTCTTCCTTCTCAAAACCAAGCAGTCACTGTTTAAAATGGCATTCCCTGCTCCTTTCTCTCACCTTTAGCTGTGGGCTACAGTAGACAGGCCATTCAGTCCAAATATACATTGTAAATAGTCATTGTTGGAATTCAGTTTACAAGGAAGTATCTTTTGACAGCCCAGAGGGCTGCATGTGCCCTGATCATTCAGAATGTTTAGAGTCTAGATAGGAGTCTGAGCTTATCATGAATAGTTTCTCAGTAGCTTGATTTACATGTCTAAGCAGACCTGGAGACGGGTTCAAGCTAATGAACTAAAATTTCAATACACTGCAATTAGAAATATAGTAATCTCATTGTTACTGTATGATTGACTGACATTCCTTTATCTGTTCTGTATGTGATGACCTCATAATCTTATTGTAATGTCTGCATTCTGTCATCAATTGCCCTGTACCTGTGTACCTATAAAATACCCTGCAATGGTATTGAAGCTTGGCAGCAGAGTTTACCTCTGCCTGCCCGGTAATGCATTATCGTGAGTGTACCACGGGAACCTGAGTAATACAATAAAGCCTCAGATGGTCTGGATGCTTGATCTTTCCCACGAACCCGAATTTTATTTCCTCTTCTCAAATTGAGATTCCAGGATTCTGACACTTGCCACACATCCACAGGATTCTGCATTACTTCTCTTTCACAGAGGAAGGCACAGTTGTGGCATTTCGTGTCACATCTAAAGAGTTTCAAATTGCTCCCCTGCCAGCTCCCCAGCCATGCCTGGAGAAGGCCCGCTCTGTTCCAAAATGGCTCTGCAGCAATGGGTACCTGCAGGGGCCCCCGAGGGCTCTCCAGCAAACCCAGGGCAAGGCTTGGGCGTGCCTGTCCTTGTGGACTGCAACTTTCCCAGAGCAGCCACGCTCCCTGCAAGCCCGCGTTTTAGCTTCCCTGCTCCCCAAGAATCCTTGGTAGCATTTACCCCGCCAGCAATGCCAGCTCCATCTCGGTGCCTTACGAGGACAACAAGGGAGGTGATGAGGAAGGCAACAGCTCCTATAAGAGCCCTGATGAAATCCTGAAAAGGAATGAGAGGAGGAGTCAGAATGGTATGAAATCAGTCAAAATATGGCTTCAATTGATCCCAGCACAAACCAATCCCACATAACAGGGGCAGGGAATGTCAAGTCAGGTTTGAGACCAACCAGCCCTCCCAGGGCCCCCCATTTCCTGGGCCTTGCCCACTTTCCCCCAGGCACTGATCATTTAGTGTTTTCTGGCACTTGTGCAGTTTCCCCCCTCATTCTCAAAGGTTAAAGTTCATCTCCTAAGGCTTGGTGACTGGCTATAAGAGCTTGAAGCTAAAACTACGGTATATACCAGTGTATAAGGCAACTCGAGTTTAAGACGAGTTTGATATTTTGGGCTGTTTTTCTGGCAACTCACCTGTAAGACCAGGCCAATATTTTATAGTTTATCTATGTTAAGCAACACCTGATTTTTGCTTTGCTATTTTCAGTTTCAAGGGTTATCTTATACTCTGGTATATATGGTATGCTGCTTTGTTTGCATTTGCCCCCCCCCCCCAAGTTTCTCTGAATTTGGCCTTTGGGATGAAAGTATTTCCCCCACTCCTGCTACATATCAGCATTCTCCAACGTGGTGCCCTTCACATGTTCTGGACTTTAATACCCATCAGACCAAGCCAGCATGGCCAAAGGTCAGGAACACTGGGCGCTGTAGTCACAAAACAGGAGGCCAACAGGCTTGGATACTAGGTCCAATACCCAGCATTTGCAGTCCAAATGATTTCACACAGCAGCACTGGGAAAAGATCTCTGACTGGGAGAGTGACTGACAGTTGAAGCCAATGGTATTAAGGTAGGTGGACCATTGAGCTGCCTCCAATGTAGGACCACTCCCTAAATATAAAGCCATTCCCCCAACCTGGAATTTTAGACTGAAACATTCTGCATTCCTGGCCATGATGGATGCGGCTGATGGGAATGGAAATCCAAAACATTAGCAGGGTACAATGCTTGCACCAGATCTGGATAGATATTCCTGTTTTTGATCTTTGGAAATGTAATGTACGCGTTGGTAAACGATGGAAACATTTAGTCCAGAACCCAAAGGTATATTGAAGGTGCATCACCTTATTCATTGTAAATAAATTATGCTCTTTGTGTCTTCCCTTCAGGATCGTAAGTAGAGTAAGTATGTAAACTAGGTTTTGCTTCTAAACCAAAAGTTACTGGGATTTGTACAGAACGTATTTATGCTCCGTTTTGCACAAATTGCAGAATTTGCCTTTATTTGCATGTGGAATATTTTGTTTCTTACGGTGCACAGACACCTCTCCAGTGTGCTGAAACAATATCGTGCCCCACCCAGTACTCATTACAGAATGGAAAACTTACTGTCCATCCCCAGTGGATTAAGGTCAGCTGCTGCTGTATGTTACAGGTGAAGAGGATGAATATAACAATACAGTAAATCATCATAAAGATGGCCAAAGATGAGAAGCCAGGTGAATATGAGGCTCCATAGAGGATCAGGATGATGATACACCCAAGCTAGGAGGAAAGAGAGAGAAAAATCAGCGTGTCAAACTGGGAAAGAGAAGGATAAATGTTAAAAATTATTTTAGAAGTCCTTCCTCACAGGTTGGGGTTAAAAAGACAGGTATGTAAAGCTGACAAAATTCCAAGATTATGAGACCTGTGTGAGATCAGCCACACTTGCACATCACTTTAAGACAAAAAAAACTGGCTTCATAAACTAAGGTGTGAATCAGCAGCACACAAGCACATGTGACCCATGTGTTCCCATCAAGCTCTCCTCTTAACGTGGGCAGATAAACAAACCAGGAAGAAAATAGCTTTGTAAGACATCCAAACCCAAGATGTTTACTGAAAGAAGCCAGAACCAAGCTTTGAAATTGGCTCAAGCATCCTGCCTTGCTTGGCACATTTAACCATAATCACAGGTTTGGACATCACTCAAAGTTCACCCCTTCTTGGCTTGTTTAATTGCTGTCACAAAGGGAAAAGAGATATGGGAATGAATGGCCTTGCATGGACAAGTAGACCATGAATTCTTATTGCTGCTTATTAAGACAAAATTTGGGGCTTAAAATGGCATGCAAAGGCAGCTGTCCTCCAGTCTGGTTTTGGTTCAGCACCAAGTAGATGTAATAAAAGCGCTTCCAAATTATCTCAAAGCCTGCTCTGTAAATCACAGCATGTCCCTTGCTTTGCTCTACAAATAATGCTCGCACAGGGAGTCTGCCTTCTGCCTTGCCCATTGATCAGTCATGAGGAATCCTTTTTGGGTCTAGTTTGTGTGGACCAGATGATGCCAAGGGGTGGGGCTGCACCCCAAAGCCTCAACATCGTTGCTCCTGTTTCCTTTCTCCATGCCTCTCTCTGCATGAAGAAAGGTGGCCTCACAGGGAAGCATTTCCTTCAAGCACCAGCCAAATGGGCACCTTCTTTGCACACTACATACTGCCCCACAAATGCAAAGGAAAGGCACTCCCTGCACAGTTGGAGGAGCTACTGCTTTGAGCAGCAACAAAACCTGGTGCCACTTTTGTGAGCTGCAAGTCATCCCAGCTGAAGTAGCAGGTGATAAACAGCAGACTCAGCTGGCTCCTTCAAGTACCTATTGCACATCTCAATTCTCATGCTGGGAATGGGAAGCCAGAGGGACACAGCTGACACTGGTCAAGCATGCAGCATTCAGCATGCTGCACCCTCTCCCAAATTGATGAAGAAGTGGAGCAGCCGGGACATCCTCTTGTCCTTGCTTTCTTTTGCACCTCCTCAAACCACTAAGGGCTTTTAGGCCAAGGGGCTGAATGAGCAACTTCCATGGGCTTGGGGGTCTCCAACCCTGCCCCAGTAATCCGCTGTCCTTAGTAACCACTGTTGAGTCTGCTGTATTCCACTCCCCCTGCAAGAGGAGCAGGCATTTTTAGGTATACTTGCATACAGGATTTTAGGCTGCTGTTTAGGACACAGCTGCCACAAAGCAGCTCACAAGTTAGACAATTCTTAAAATCCATAGCTTAAAAAAATCCTTCTCAACCCAATACAAAACAGGTTACAATGGCAGTTTACGATCAGTACATAATCACGCCAGTCCTAAAATCCATACTAAAACTGCACGATCAACAGGCTTAAGAAAAATGACCACTGTTTGTTTTAAGGCCTGTTTGAAGACCAACACTGAAGGTCCCATATGGAAGGAGCTCCATTAAATAAGGGGTCACCACTATGAAGGCCTTGTCTCGAATTCCCACCAACTTGATAGTATTTACAGATGGACAAAACATGCAGAGTTTCCAATAATAACCTTGGAGTGCAAGTATGAATGCAGGGATGAAGGAAACCTTTCAATTAACCTGATTCCAATCTGTTCAGGACTGGGAAGTCCAACACCAGCATTAGAAATGCACCAGTAACCAATGCACCTGATACAGTATTTACATCACATGTGTCAACCAACTGGCCTGCAATGAAATCTGTGGAGTCAAAGTTTGCACTAGCTGCAATTTCTAGATCAAAAACAGCCCATCCTGTCCTCCGCACTCTTCTGCATCCAATATTGGTGTAAGTAACAATATAAAATTAAAATTAATAATATAAAATAAATAAAAATATAAACGATATAAAAAAGTTATAAAAGAAAAGTTATAAAAGAAAAGAAAAGAAGTCACCCTGGCCAGATAAATAAGTAAATATTGTTAACAATTAAAATAACGTTTAAATAAAAAGGACTTCACCTGGTGCCGAAAAACAAATAACGACGGCGCTGCAGAACCTTGCCCAAAGAAGCTAAGTTTGAGACAGAAGACTGATATGCCAGATCATCCAGGCTTAGTTTCTTTAGTAACAGCCTGACCATTGCCCTCTTAAAGGTCATCAGAGAACATTCCCACCTTCAAAAGGCATCTGCCATCTCCAGGGTTCACTGGCAGGTTTTAAAATTCATAGCTAGAATCATTCCAGAGAGGAGGTAGCCCTCCAACCTTCAAGCAGCTTTCCTACAATTTTAGGTTGCAGAAAATTAAAGGTATCCCCGACAACATGACCAGATTGTATGTTAGCTATATCCATCACTGATTCTGATAAAACTATGGCAACTAGGCCAGTCTGCATCTGCCTTGGTCGCCCTGTACAATGACCTGTGCAGGGAGAGAGATAGGGGGAGTGCGTCCCTGTTAGTTCTCCTGGACCTCTCAGCGGCTTTCGATACCATCGACCATGGTATCCTTCTAGATAGGCTAGCGGGATTGGGAGTTGGAGGCACCACGTGGCGGTGGTTCCACTCCTATCTCAATGGCCGATTCCAGAAGGTGGTGCTGGGGGACTATGGCTCTGCGCCATGGCAGTTATGCCATGGAGTTCCGCAGGGGTCCATTTTGTCCCCCTTGCTATTTAACATCTACATGAAACTGCTGGGAATGGTCATTAGGAGGTGTGGGCTGCAGAATCATCAGTAGCTGATGATACTCAGCTCTACCTCTCATTTTCCGCCAATCCAGGTGAGGCAGTGGCTGTGCTGAACCGGCGCCTGGCCGAGGTAATGGGCTGGATGAGGGCCAATAAACTGAAGCTCAATCCAGACAAGACGGAGGTCCTGTTGGTTGGTGGATCGGGCTTTGGGATGGGGGACTTGGGCCTTGTCCTAAATGGGGTTGCACTCCCTCTGAGGGACAGGTTTTGCAGCTTGGGAGTGCTCCTCAACCCTGAGCTGTCACTAGAAGTTCAGGTGACGGCGGTGGCGAGGAGCGCCTGCCTTCAGCTTCGGCTGATCCATCAGCTACGTCCCTTCCTGGAGAACGACTGCCTGGCGACAGTGACACACGCATTGGTAACTTCCTGATTAGACTTCTGTAACGTGCTTTACATGGGGCTACCCTTGAAGACGGTCCGGATACTTCAATTGGTGCAGAATATTGCTGCCAGGTTGCTGACGGGGACTGGGCATTGTTCTCATATAATCCCAGTTCTCTGTCAGCTTCACTGGCTCCCGACTGAAGTCCGGACCCAATTCAAGGTGTTGGTTATGACCTATAAAGCCCTCAACGGCTTGGGACCTGGTTATCTAAAGGAACGCTTGTGGCCATATATGCCCTCCCCCCCCTTGAGATCGGCAAGAGATGCCCTTCTCCGGGAACCCTCTGGGAATGATATTAGGAGGGTGAGTACCCGGAGGAGGGCCTTCTCTGTGGTGACGCCCCACCTATTTGTTTTTCGGCACCAGGCTAAGACCTTTTTATTTAAAACTTATTTCAATTGTTAACTTACTATGTATCTATAGGATTTTAAATTTTTAGCCAAGATGTTACTGGGCTTTTTAATCTTTAATTGTATTATTTGTTATTTATATGTTTTAATTATGCTGTGAGCCGCCCCGAGGCTTTGTTGCAATGGGGGCAGCATAGAAATGTTTTAAATAAATAATAAATGCAAACACTTTTATCAACAATATGCAAAACCCTATGCACCAATTTTAGGTTCTGATGCAAAAGTTGATAAATTAAAAATGCTTGCACACATATGCAAGACTCCTTATCAAGATGGCTATCCACTAATTGTCCAGCACCATCCTCAGTTAGAATGGAAGAATAACTCTGAGTGAGAAACTGGTTGGCCTACTCCTTGAATCTGACAGGCAGATGCAGACACCATCCCTGGGACAAGTGTATAATGCAGGAAGCTGGTGGGAGACTCAGTTCGTCACTTTCCATGACAAGGCACATTCCCATTTCCTTTCCTAGCATGTGTTGCATAAAGCTGCCACCTCAACCCAGACCAGGATGAGTCTTTTTTAAGAGAGCTGAAGGCAGATTTTCAGGTCATGGGTTGTTCACACTGAAGTTACAAACGCACGCACAAAGATGTGCACACAAATACATGGCCTTGCTTTTCTCTCCAAACTCAGCATGTGGGCACCAGGATAAGCTAACAGCTCAGTAGGTTCTAAGCCTCAAAGCAGGAGAAACTTCCTTTGGATGGACACAAAATGACATCTGCTTGGATTTTAAGCCGCTTAATGTATATAATGACATAGGGGATGGGGAGAACTGAATGTGTCTCACAAAATAACATTAATTATATGGCAAATAAGATTGAAAGCCTGGGAAAATAACCTAGCAGCTACTTCTTTCCATATGACAATACATAAAGGGAGATACTCTAAGGCAGGGGTGCGGAACTTCTGGCTCAAATCAGGCACTCCTGCTTCTCCCAGGTGGCTGTACCTTCTTCCCACAGCTCCGGCTCCTTTCCCCCACCACTGATGATTTGGTGGTTTCCCAAGTTTTGCATAGTTCCCCCACCCATGTTGAAAATGTCTCTCCTAAGCTTTAATTACAGTCTGTCAGAGTTTTAAGCTACAATATGCTGCATTTTTGGTCCTTTTGTTCCTGCCCCTTTACATTTGGCCCTCTCCCACTACTGGAATGTTTCCTCCCGCCACTCAGAACTTCTCTGAAAGTGAATTTGGCCTTCAGGCTGAAAGAAGTTCCCCACTTTATCTGAGAAATAAAGCCGTTCCCCTGCTT